TCTTCTTCTACTTCTCTTTCTTTCTCCCTTCTTTTCTTTTTCTTTTTTCACCTTTGGGCTTTCCTTTTAGATATCTATCTCTACTTCATTATCTGTGCATCTTTTTCATCTCTCTTTTCTGATCTCAGCTTGTCATTACCTACTCCTATCTAAGTGTCTACAGGAGCAGATAATTCATTTCCCTTTGTGTTTTTTATTTCTACCTAATCCTCTTCACCCAGTATGTTCTTATATTTGTTGCTTCTTCCCTTCTCTTTCATTATCATTCTGCATCTTACCAACCCCCTTACTAAATCTTTGTTTCCACAGAATTTCTTTCCTTCATTGTCTTTTTCTCTCCTCTGGTTTGTACACACACACTCCTGTCTCTCTCTATCCTTTTCTTTTACCTCTATGTTTCACTCACTTTTTTGCTTTGTCTGTCCTTTTGTTCTCCCATTCAGTGTTTTTTTTTGTTTTTTCATTTTGTTGATGGCTTCCTTTGCCAGGCAAAAAATTTTTAGTTTGGTGTAGTCTCATTTATTTGTTGTTTTGTTTCCCTTACTGAGGAGATATTATCAGATAATATATTGCTATGAACAATGTTCAACATTTTACTGCCTATGTATTCTTCTACAGTTTTTATGGTTTCAGGTCTGACATATAAACCTTCGATCCATTTTGAACTTACTTTCATTTGTGGCATAAGAAGGTGGTCTAGTTTCATTTTTGTGCATATATCTGTCCAATTTTCCCAAAACAATTTATTGAATAAACTATTGTTAGCTCACTGTATGTGCTTGTTTCCTCTGTCAAATATTGACTATAGAATTGTGGGTTTATTTCAGGGCTTTCTACTTTGATCCACTGATCCGTGTGTCTGTTTTTATACCAGTACCATGTGTTTTGATTACTATGGCCTTATAGTATAATTTGATATTAGGTAGCATGATTCCTCCAACTTTGTTCTTTTATCTCAAGATTGCTGTTGCTATTCAGGGCATTTTGTGGTTCCATATAAATTTTGAAATATATGTTCTATGTCTCTGAAATAAATACAACATTGGAATCTTGATAGGAATTACACTGAAGGTATATTGCTTTGTGTAGCAAGGACATTTTAATGAGGTTGATTCTTCCTATCCATGAACACAGTATGTGGTTCCACTTATTTGTATCATCTTCAGTTTCTTTTTTACAGTGTTTCCTAATTTCACAAACACAGGGCTTTTGCATTCTTGGTTAGATTTATTCATAGGTATTCTATTCTTTTTTAAACAATTATAAACAGCATGGTCTTCTTAATTTTATTTTCTGATGATTCCTTATTAGCATATAAACATGCAACTGTATTCTACATACTATTTTTTATTCTGCTACTTTATTGAATTTATTTATACATCTAGTACCTTCTTGGTGGAATTTTTAGGGTTCCCTATGTCAGTATCATGTCATCTGCAAATAATGACACTTCACACTTCTTCCCTTCCAATTTGGATGTCTTTTATTTCTTCTCGTTGTTTGATTGCAATGGATAGGACTCCCAGTACTATATTCAATAAGAGAGGCGAAGGTGGACATCCTGTCGTTTCTGATCTTAAGGGGAATACTTATAGTTTTTTTCCTGTTATGTACAATGCTAGCAGCGGGTTTCTCCTATATGACTTTTACTGTGTTTAATATGTTCTCTCCATTCCCACTTTGCTAGAGCTTTGATCATACATGGGTGCTGAATTTTATCAAATATTTTTGCATCTATTAATATGATCACATGGTTTTCATACTTCATTTTCTATATGTGGTGTATCACATTTATTGACTTGCAAATGTACCAACCTTGCATGCCAAGAATAAATTTCACTTATCATAGTATGTGACTTTGTTGATGTATTGCTGTATTCAGTTTGCAAATATTTTTTTTAAGTTTGTGAATATTTTTGTTGAGGATTTCATCAAAAAGACCCATCTTTCATCAGGAATATTGGCCTATAGTTTTCTTTTTTTTGTTGTGTCTTTATCTGATTTGGAATTAGGATAATGCTGACTTTGTAAAATGAGCTTGAGAGTCTCCCTGTCTTTTGAATAGTTTAGGAAGTGTCCTCAGAATGTTTTGTTAAATTCATCTGTGAAGCCATCCAGTCCAGGACTTTTGTTTGTTGAATTTTTTTTAAATTACTGCCTCTATGTCACTAGGTGTAATCTGTCTATTTAGATTCTCTGATTCTTCCTGATTTAATTTTTGGAAGATTGTATGTTTCTAGGAACTTATCTACTTTATCCAAGTGGTTCAATTTGTTGGTAAATAGTTGTTCATATTTTCTTACCATCCTTTGAATTACTTTGGTGTCAAGTTTTTTTTAATTTTATTTAGTTATTTTTCAAGTACAGTTTTTTGTCTATTTCTCCCAACCCAGCACCTCCCCCCCGCCCCCGCCCCGTCTCCGCTTTCATTTCTGGTTTTATTTATTTGGGTCCTCTCTTGTTTTTTTCTTGATGAGTCTGATGAAAGGTTTGTCAATCTTGTTTATCTTTTAAAAGAATAAGCTCTTGGATTCATTGATCTTTTATAACACTTTCTAGACTGTATTTCATCTATTTCTGCTCTGATCTTTATTATTTCCTTCCTTACACTCACTTTAGGCTGTTTGTTTTTCTTTCTCACATTCATGTAAGTGTAAAGTTAGATTGTTTATTTGAGCTTTTTCTTTTTTGATGAAAATAATACATTTTAATAGTCTAATATTCTAATATATGGAAATAAACTTTCTATGAAATAAGGACATTTAATATCCATAAATATCTTTAAATATAAATGTGTTAAAATACATTGAAAATGGTGTGCCTTAGATTTCTGCCATTTTACGTCTTATGTAGCAAGCCCATTTCATTTAATCAAATCTGTTTACCCTGCACTTAAAAAATATTTTGTTTTTTTATTGTTGTTCAAGTACAGCTGTCTCCATCCCCCCACTCTCCCAATCCCACCCACACCCACTCCCCACCCTTGAGCTTTTTCTTAACATAAGCCTGTAATGCTATGAATTTCCCTTATAATTACTTTCCCAGTGTCCCACAGATTTTAGGTTGCTGTGTTCTCATTTTCAATCGTTTCAAGGTACCTTTTGATTTCCTCCTTGATCTCATTATTGAGCCATTCACTGTTAAATAACATGTTATTTAGCTTCCACATCTTTGCGTGTCTTTCAGTTTACTTCTTGTCAATTGACATCTAGTTTCATAGCATTGTGGTCAGAAAAGATGCTTGGTATGATTTTAATCTTCTTAAATTTATTGACTTGTTTTTTGTCCTGACATATGGTCCTGGGAAATATTCCATGTATACTTAAAAAGTATGTATATTCTGGCCCTGGTTGGTGTAGCTCAGTGGATTGAGCACGGGCCTGTGAAGCAAAGGGTTGCTGGTTCGTTTCCCAGTCAGGGCACATGCCTGGGTTGCAGGCCAGGTCCCCAGTAGGGGATACATGAGAGTCAACCACACACTGATGTTTCTCTCCCACTCTTTCTCTTTCCCTTCCCCTCTCTCTAAAAATAAATAAATAAAATCTTTTTAAAAGAAAAGTATGTACTTCTGCTTCTTTGGGGTGAAATGCTCTGAGGATATTAATTAAATCCATTTCATCTAGTATATCATTTAAGGCCACTGTGTCCTTGTTGATTATCTGCCTGGAAGATCTATCCTTTGAAGTCAAAGGAGTATTAAAATCCCCAACTATGACTGTATTTCTGTCGATCTCTCCCTTTATGTCCATCATGATTTGCTTTACATATTTAAGTGCTCCTATGTTGGGTGCATAAATATTTACAAGGGTTTTATCCTCTTGCTGGATTGTTCCCTTTATCATTATGTAGGTCCCTCTTAGTATGGCCAAAGTTCTCAAGCCTATTTTGTTCAGTATAAGTATTGCTACCCCAACTTTTTTCCATTTTCATTTGCATGAAGTACCTTTCTCCATCCCTTTACTTCTAGTCTTGTGTGTGCCTGTCAGTCTGAGGTTGGTCTACTGTAGACAGCCTACATGTGAGCCGTGCTTTTCTATCCATCCAGCTACCCTCTGTCTTTTCATTGGAGCATTTAAGCATTTACATTTAAAGTGATTATTGATAGATATGTATTTGTTGCCTTTTTACTTTCAATTATTTTCTTGAGTTTTTTTCTTTGTCTTAAAGCAAGTCCTTTAACATTTGTTTATATACTGATTTGGTGGTAACAAACTCCTTTAGCTTTTTCTTGTCTGAGAAGCATTTTTCCCCTCCAATTTTAAATGATAGCCTTGCTGGGTAAAGTAGCCTTGGTTGTGGGTTCTTGCTTTGAATATTTCATGCCAATTCCTTTTGGCCTGAAATATTTCCATTGAGAAATCAGATGACAGTCTAGGACTGATTGCTTTTTTCTTGCAGCTTTGAAGATATTCTTCTTGTCTTTGGGCTTTTGCCATTTTAATTATGATGTGTCTTGGTGTAGGCCTCTTCGGGTGCATCTTGTTTGGGACTCTGCACTCTTGGACTTTTCACCAGATTAGGGAAGTTTTCAGTCATTATTCGTTCAAATGGGTTCTTGATCCCTTTCTCATTCTTTCCTACTTATGGTATCTCCATAATGTGATGTTTTTATGTTTCATGTTGGCCCAAAGATTTCTTAAACTCTTCTGATTTTTTAATTTCCGTTTTCTTTTTGTTGCTCTGCTTGGGTATTTTTTTCTATCTTGTCTTTCAAATTACTGCTTCATCATAGATATGGAGGGTTATCGTTTGGAGGGTTATCGGTTGGGAGGTGGAGGGGGAAGAATGGAGGAAAAGGTGCAGAGACTAAATAAAAATTGGTAGGTACAAAATAGGGGGATGTTAAGAATAGTAGAGGAAATGGAGAAGCCAAAAAACTTATATGCATGACCCATGGACATGAACTAAGGGGGAGAAGTGCTGGAGGGAGTGGGGGTACCTGATGGAGGGGGGGCCAAGGGGGGAAATGGGACAACTGTAATAGTATAATCAATAACATGTATTTTTTAAAAAGAGTTTTATTGCTTTAATTTTTTTTGTACAACCTGAAAGAATATGCTTTTTAAGCCCAAGGAATGGAAGTACAAGGCCTACCATGGGCTGACTTGAGTTGTCATTTCCTATTCAGGTAGGTTTAGCTCTCAGACATTCCACTGCCTTTTACTCCACATGCACAGAGTAGTTAATTGATAATATTTGTTGCTAAATAAATGAAGTAGAAATTTCTCACTCTTGTCCCTAGAGAATACAGTGACCCTGTATTCTCCCAAACTCGTATCATTAACAGCAACATCAAGAAATCTGAGATAAAATTACTTTCAAAATTACTTCATTTCCTTCATGCTGACCATAGAGATTAAAGGCCTAAAAGATTTCCAAAAGAAGTAACTCAATTATTAAACAAATATACAAAAAAAGTTTTCTCTTCAGCAATGTTCCAGTTCCAAAATGAAAAGATAATTGAAAATACTTTATAAGACTCACAGGGACTGAGACTGAAGTTAAAACTTCAGACAGGAAAACTGAGGTTAATAACTTTGTTCTCACAAATTAACCATTATTCTTACTGATTTCAAAATGTATCTCTGAAAATGGTAAGTTCTAGGGGACACTGTAATGACAGTCGCTTAGACATTTTCATGACACAAAGCTCAAATAGCACCAAATATGCCACTTGACCTTCATGAAACCATCGTTCTCTTTAAAGTAGGAATCCGTATTTCTTGGCAAAGATCAAGCTCAAAAATCATATGAAAGATTCTTAGCCTCAGGTTTGAAGATGTTGTCTAAGCCATATGTGAGTCCATCTCAAAGTTAGATAAAATTTATAAATAAGTATCTGGGTCCTCTATGAAGATTATTGCATATTGGAAAGCTCTATTTCTGGAATTGGTCCAGAAATAGGTCCCTGCCATTCAGTGCATATGGACATAATTAAACGAGAATCAGAGCTCTATCCCGCACCCAAATAATTCATTTTCCCCTTTCTTTTACTCTTTATTTTTTGTCTTCATATGCTTTCAGTTTTTCTACTTTCTTATTTTTCTACACTAATGTAATTATCAGTAGTTGCTTGCTGAAATTCATCACCCACAGTGTATAGTGGTATTTGGGAGAGCAATTACATCCAATAAGATGGTCTGGCACAATTTCTGACAAACACTCGATACATGTGACTTTTACTTTTCTTTCTTTCTCAGTTCCAGTCTACAATGCAGCTATAATGCAGCAACTACTCATCAAATATTTGAGCTTTATTGTCTTTGAACTATAGAACTACTGTGCTACATGAAGAGTTGCATATATATTATGTAATTTTATTTTTTAAGCAATTTTTAATTAACTTTTTAGAGAGAGGGAGAGAGAAACATTGATTTGTTGTTCCACTTATTTATGCATTCACTGGTTGATTCTTTTATGTGCCCTGACTGGGGATGGAACCTGCAACCTTGGCGTGTGGGATGATGTTCTAATGAACTGTGCTACCTGGCCAGGGCAGTACTTTTACGTTCTGTTCAAAGAGTTGATAAAATATTGGTATTATTTATACAAATTTTTTAAACAACACCAATTTTTTATGCTTTATGTGATATAAAATATCTATAGTGGGAAAAATTTATTTTTCCAACTGTCAATAAAACACCAGATACATTCCTAATGTGAATGGTAGGTTAGAAGTGATAAAACTGCTTATTTAAAAAACGCATTATTAACTATGTCCCTCTGTTGTTACTCTTTCATTAAAATCTATTTTAGTTTTCATAGTCCCTCTTGTCCTTCAATAATCAGTAACCTTCTGGCAACTTACTTTGGTGATTAAAGTTGAAATCAAGGAGCTTCCTAGGTGGAAAACTAGGAGGTTCTGCATTATTCAGTCTCTCATTCATTCCCTCCATCCTTAGGTTCTGCTTCTCCTAATCTACAGCTGTGAGACCAAACATGGCCACCTTTAAGGAATGTACCCATCTCAGTTTTCACACCCATCCCAATACGAGCTAGTATCTCATCCTCAGATAATCCAATTAGCAACCAGCTGGATTCACGAGTGATGTTATCTTGAAAATGTGTCCCACTTGTTTTCTGATGCAGTAAAACTACTGGGTTCAAAAGTGAAGCCAGTGAAAGAGAGATGAAGCCAAAGCTGGTAGCCCTGAGGAACTGTTTTGGAGTAAAACTTTAAGACCTTCTACTCAATTAAAATTAATAGGTTACTCTTTCTTCTGCTGCTTTCACTAGGAAAAAAACAAAACAAATAAAATAGTATCTACTATGATCAACAGTACTGTCACATGAACATTTGTTTAGGTTTATTTTCTTGCCTTCCAAGAAAAATAGATATTTAAACACCAGTTCCTAATAGCACAATTAAAATTTACTTTTTATAAACATAAAAATGAAGAAATGTCATTTGTAGTAAAAAAACTCAAATTAAAATTTTTTATGCTTTACATTATTTAATTTCTATACAGCAACAGAGTTAAGAGTTTTTTTTAGATGTGATTTATATCACAAGAGAATCTTGTTTTCTTGAAAAGGGACCTTTTTATAATTCCAAGAAGGTCAAAGTACTATAAAATAATCAAGGTCTGCCCATCCATAAGTAAAATCCTTTAAATGTTATTGAAATACAAGTATAATTACACCCAGGAAGAAAATGTTGTCAGTAGAGAAAAGATGACTTAGGGCCTCTTTTTGTTTTCCAAAGCTGACGGACATGAGTGAGCTCTGATATCATTGTGTTTAAAAGTGGCTTCGTCCAGATCCAGCTGCAGGCTGTTAACGTTCACTTCCATACAGCCATTATAAAAGGCGTCCACTGGTGTCGCATTGAGTGGAATAACTGAGAAAAAGAATATTAAAATATTAGCCCAAGACTTTTAGCATCTTATCTGCTTAGTTACAGGAATTATTCAGACTTCTCATTTCTAACCAAAAGTTAATAATGTAATTTGCTTTAGTAAATTTGTATTAAAACACTCCTACGTGTATAAGGTACTGTATGTGGCACTAAATTCAGCACGAGTTGCTCTTATTTCATAAACACAGTCGGTTCCACCCAAACCTAAGATAAACACACCTTAAAAAAAGAGAATTGAGCACATTTTTACTTAAGATATTCTACTTTGTTATTGTTTCTTTAAATTTGAGCCATAGTTTAAGCATCGTTAAATCACTTTTCAACTCTAAACTATAGCTAAGTACAAATCTTTTAAAATGCCAAGACAAATATATCTGTTATTATTACTGGAATAAAAGCAAATTTCTGTATTTTCCAAAGAAATAGTTTCTTGCTGAGCATACAGGGAATTCACTTTTATGTAATATTTGGTTCTAAAAAATAACAATTTTCATGATGCTTTAGTGAATAGTTTAGGCCCTTGGGCCTTTCTACACTCTCATCAACTTAATGCTTAGGTAACACCCTTGGATTCCTAAGAACTACGGTTCATCTTAAAAACATCCATCCATCTGTGTGAGTGTGTGTCTTTGTTTGGCATCTCTTCATGAATCTCAATTCCCAGTGAATATTCTCAGTCTTTCTTCTTCAGTACCTTATGCAAAAATATACAGTATATACTTTAAATTTTCCACCTCTAAATTGACAATACAGTGAATAAAGTCCATACTTTTCTGTGGGCTTATAGCATTTATTAAGAAACCCTTTCAAGTCTGGCTAAGCACTACAGATTATGTCATTATTTGATTTTTAATTTATAACTTGCAATTTAACATGCCTATTTTGCACATCAATTATAATTTACCCATCCCACAGTTTATACTCGTAATATCTCAATTTTGAATCCCCCTTCATTTTCTCTCACTCTTTGCCTTAGCCCATCTTGCCTGAAGTCAATCTTCAGTGCTGTGGCCAAAGTCCTGGAACCACTGACATTGTCATATTTTTACTTCTTTTGAACACTTTGGATGTTTGTTTGATTTCCTAAAATTGCATTCAAATAATTTGTGAATAAGATAGTAGGTGGGTTTCAATGTAGAATTTATTCATTTGAACTATAATTATAATTCCTAATACTTAACCACGCGTTAACTTATCTAACTTCCTAATAATCAACCAACTTGCTTAACTCTCTCTCTCTCAACTGTTAGTGCCTCTTTATTCCTATTCCCCCAAAACCCAGATAAAAATTCCTTTTATGGGCCCTGGCTGGTGTAGCTCAGTGGATTGAGTGTGGGCCTGTGAACCAAACAACCACAGTTCAATTCCCAGTCAGGGCACATGCCTGGGTTGCAGGCCAGTTCCCAGCAGGGGACGCACGAGAGGCAACCATACATTGATATTTCTCCGCCTCTCTCCTTCCCTTCCCCTCTAAAGATAAATAAATAAAAATTCTTTTAAAAAATTCTTTTTATGGGAAATGAAGACCTCGCTCAGTTCCAGTAATATAATGGCTGACATCAAATTCAGAATTCTCCCCATAAGAATAACTTGCAAAGCTTTTTGAAAATTTTTCTAACAAACTTTCTGCCTCAATTTTTTGCCATTTAAAGTAAAATATTTATACCAATTTCATATTTTCCAATATTACATTAAAGTGAACCTGCTTTTCCTCTAGTTCTCTCCATCTTGGTTTGAAATCTCCACCCATGCTGCTCATGCCAGATACCTGCCTTTCAATCACTAAACCCCATCAAAATTTTGTTTTTCACATACATCTGCAATCAATTCACTGTATACCATCTCAATTATCACCATCCTAGTTCAGCACCTGCTTCACCTGGAGACAGTAACGGTACCTACCTCACAGGACTATTCTGAAAATTCAGTGAGTGGATACATTTGAAGCACCCTGCTTCCCGGATTATTCATTATGCACCAGCGGATGATAGTATAGCTGCTGCTGCTGTTATTAATACTGGTCCTGCATCTGGACTACTTCGGAGGCCCCCAAGTCATCTTGTCACTGCTGCCTCCCAGCTGTCCATCTCCATCCATTACACAGCATGATTATTTTTTTTAAATTCCTATATTGATACTATACAACTTCCTTGTCTAAAGCTTTTTAGTTATTTCCATAGCTGTTAAAATAAGACTCGGGACCCTGAACCAGGCCTAAACACCTCCTAACCCCCCCCCCCCGCCCCAACCCAGTTCAGAGCCTCAGCCTGCACGGCTGTTCCTCCCCCTCCACCCCACTCAACATGCTTCCACCATTCGGATCTACATATTCCTCAAGTACGTCAACCCCTCCCCGTTTTCCCCACACACAGACCTTTTTACTTGTGTATTTGTGCCAATCCCCAGCCCTACCACTTGGTTAAATTCAATGAATCCTTCAAATATCCTAATCTTTTCTTCAGGGAGTTTGTTTCTGGCCCGCACAACCAGAACACTGCCCCATTTCAGGCTCCAGAAGCAACCCACATTTTTCCTTCACAGAAGCTACAGCAACTTTAATTTTTTAAAAAATTTCCTAATTATGTGTTTAATGTCTGCCTCTGCCAGTAGATTGTGAAAGCCGTAACAGCAGGGACCACATCCATTTGTTCATGACTGCATTCCTAGTTCCAGGGGCAGACGTTCCTGAGAAATATTGGGTGCGTGATAGATGAACTGAAGAGTAATAAACATTGAATTCACAAGACTGTCGTAAGGATGAAATGGAATAATAAATTCCTTCTGGTGAGCATAGTCAAACTCAGCAAAATTTGGTTAGTTTCAGTTAATCATTAAAAAAGTTTTTTTAAAGTACCAATAAAATGCCAATACAAACACTCGGGAAAAGAATAATTGATACTGGAATTTTGTTTTTCCTTCTGATGCCCTTTGGCTAAAATTACATATTTAAAATACTTTCAATTTGACTAAAAGTACACTTTGTAAAACTGATGGAAACACAAGCAGATACCTGGAAGGCCACCCAGGTAAGTGGCTACTGTTCCTTTCACGGCTTTCTCCAAGGTGTCAAATTGTCTTTGGAAATCTTCAGAGGAGATGATATCATCTTTCAGTGGGGTTGACAGCTCCAGTTTTCTGCTGTTGATTCTGAATTCCAGATGGGACTGTTGACTGGAACACAGACTTACGCCCTCTATCCGAGCTACTACCGTGTTTTCAACAGAAACCAGGATATCCTGAGGAACAGGCAGACTCAGTATAAGCAAGTACTGATGGCAATGACACTTAAGAGTGACTTAGAGTTTTTGAAATTCAAAAACGGAATTTCAATGAGAAAAAATCTATGACAGAGCCTCAGAGTTTAACTGGAAAAAATTACTAATGATTATAAAAACCATAATTTTAGAATATACATCAGTATTATGAACTTAAGGTTTAGCTGAGATGTAAATGTGTGGTGGCTTCTGAAAATTCAATAAACATCACAGTTGTGACACCAACAATGGAACCCTCAAGTAGGGTCTCAAGTAATACTTTCCTGTCTGTGAGTCTTCCTAACTTCAAGACTTACATATGAAAAAGAAAGAGATGCATCACTATTTTTTGGGAAGAAAAGACTTGAAAACTTTGAAGTGCTTTAGTGACCATGTACCAGCAAGACTGAGAGAATTCTCATGCCACCTACGCAATCCTATAGACGGGACGACGTATGTGAACAAACTCAGAGGCAGAAAAACCAGGGATCACCAGCAGGAAGTTACAGACCATTTATCAGAAGATTCTCAAAAGACAAAATGTATTCATTTTGCTGAACTTTTCAAATTACTGATACACAAAATTCCTTAACCCACTGAAAGTGATCTATGCATACAGCTTACATAATACAGAAAGGAAATGTAAATATGAGAGAAAATAAAACCAAAACTAGGGAGATGCGGTGCTGTCCTGCTTCCCAGATGGTCGAAAGGCAGTCTGAAGTGTCTATGTAGGAATCCAAGATACCTGCGTTCAGTGAAATCTATACATCACAAATGCTGGTTAGTCCCGAAAATCTGTTACTGTGTTACACACTTTGTATCTATGCACTCATTAAAACCTGAAGATGATCGGATGAGAAAATGTTCCCAAATGATCAGTAGTGTGTGGAATAATGTTATGAAACAATGTTCACAGACCTTGAGAAAGATATCTGACTTGCAAAAGCAGTGGACCATGGACACAAACACAAAGAGATAAACATCAGAGACATGGCTAGCAGAAATTAAGAACCTTCACTGAAAGACTGGTGTTAAAGATGGAAATTCCATTTTCTTTCTATAAACAAAACAAACAAGCAAATAAAAAGCTTAAATCCTGATGTAGTAAAATCCTATGGTGGTAGATTGGAGACAATTACTCAGCAGGATCTGTTTAGGTTGCTTATGGTTAACAGCCACAAACTCCTCCAAATCATCTTTTAAGTTATAGACAGCAAGCACCATTTTTATTACTGCAGGCATCAGTAATGTCTCTTTCTAAAAGCTACCAAGAGCATCCAAGCCCACCTTGGCACAAATACAAGGTTCCTGCTGTAACCTGCTGGAATCCACTGTCAATGACACATGGACAGAGCTATTATCCTCTAACAGAAAGATGAATAACACAGAGCTGGTAACTCTCAGGTTTCCTTTGAAGCAAGAGTTCTTCCTGTTCTTCCTCCTAATTTCAAATCAGAGTTCCCAGCAAGAAGACAAGTGGACTGGTTTTAGTTTTCTCTAGTCTTTTCCAATTGACTCAAGGGAGAAAAGATTAAGTGTGCCAGAAAGCACAAAATATTACAATTCGGCACTGAATATCTGAGAGCAGATTGCAGTCAGACTCACTCATATTGTGTTAGTACAAACCAATTCCCATGATGCCTCAAGGATTCTGAATAAGGGTGGATCCCTATGCACTCTAAGAAGGCACAAAGCAGCCTGCATGTAAATCTGCCTAATCTTAACTACAGATGCAATAAACTTTTCAATTTCCCACACTCACTTCTTGGTTCAGACTTGGGAATAAGCCAGTAAAAAAGTAACAGTAATGGACACACTGAGTCCTTGATGATGTGGTAGAGAATGTATCAAACGTTTTACATCAGTTATCTCATTACGAAGGTTTTAACCTCATTATGAAGGTTTTAACTTTCATAATAGCACTTTGAGACAGCTACTGCTATAATATCCATTTTGACATATTAAAAAAAGAAAACAAGGATCATGAAGTTTTAGAATAAAGTTACCTGAAGCTTTTCAGAGGAGGAGTCTACCAAGGAGATGGCAAAGGGCACTGTGTCACCAGAAACCAAGGCAAACATAATGCCGGTACCCGTGGACGGGCGAATATTCAAAGTCACGTTGATCTGCCAAGCCTCAGGATTTGGTACATTATCTGTGTGGACAATAAAACAAAATTACAATCAAAGTACACCAGGAGGAATTACTACAATCTTATTAGTACTCAAAGCCATTTTTTGTGTAATACTAGAGATTTTAGTTCTTCCCTCTCCATGATCTAGGCAAAACAAAACAAAAGAAAAAAATTAATGCAGGCAAGAAACACATACATGGAGCCCCATCTTTCTGCTCTTCCTAGAATAGAATACTGGATTATGGTATTTAGGATTATTATGACTTTTCCCTGTTTGCTTTTTAACTGCCCTTCCTTCTGCTTTGCATATTCACCAATGCTCAAATCTCAGCGTGGTTATATTTTAAAGAACGTGTGTAGAAGGAAAATCAACAAATTTATTATAATATTTCTGAGGGAAAATTTTGTTATGGCTGCCATCACGACCCTGCCACTTCTCATCCATAAAGGGGCCAGGGTAGAGCTATAGAAAGGAAAGATAGGATTTAGATGCATAGAGGAGTTGAGTAGTTTGATAAACACTCTTTAAGAAATACTTAAGTCAACGGTTGACTCTGACATTTGAATAGAAACTCTTCTCTGTGATTCTCTTGCCATAATATACCACACCCTTTTTCCTAATGACCAGCTTAACTGTCTACCACACCAGAATGCAAGCTCTCTGCACGTATGTCTCTATCATCACTCTGTTGTCACAGAAGTCACAACAAATATTTGTTGATTTAATATGTCTTCAAAATAGTTTGATTCCTAAAAATGTTAATTTGCAATGTGAATGAAGCTTTCTTCATTTAATATAAAGTGATATATAATAGTAACTTAGGGGCTTTGAGAGGGTGAATGTGAGAAAATAGTTTTCCTTTGACAAGATGTTCTTCCTTTTAGCCACATCTAATGCTGTTACTTTTTTTTCATTATAACTATCTACTTCCCACCCCTGAAAAGGATATATTTTATATTTAATCATTCTGAAGTAAATTTAGTGTAAGGCACTAACAAAGTCAAATTGAAATGAATGTGCAAATGCACAGAAATTATAATGTAACATTAAATAGTAATTTAGAGGTAGGTCTTTTTCAAGTTATTTATAAAAAACGAATTACTTATTAAAGTATTTTTCAAATACAATGTAACTTATTTTCATTTTTCCTGAGAGTTACTCTCCTTTCAACAAATTGTTGTGGGTCAATTATTTTTCTATATGCAGTCATTAACCCAATACTAAACATTAAAAAAAATCCTTCATTTACAGAATGAAGTAAAAGTAAAGGTATCATATTAATTTGTGTTAGAAAAACAGAAAGTACTGGTATAAATTTCTTCCTTAAAATTGTAGTAAGCCTTTTTTAGGCTTATTACAAACACAGTTAACACATAATTTTTTCTTACAGCAGAGATATCAGACTAATACTAAGTTGACAATACAAACTCTTAGTAGCTCAAATAATAAACTAAAACAGGAAAAGACAAAGATTTCAATAAAATAACTAATATATATCACATGAAGAGATATTCAACTTCAGTAGAAACTGGGGTAACACTATTTAAAACTACATATAATATTTAATTTTTCAAATCTCCAGTTAAAAAGAAATCTCAAGCACAAGCCTATTTATTCTGTTGGTAGAAGTATAAATTGATAGAACATCTTTGGAAGAGAGTCTAATCAAACCATAAGAATTATACATTTGCATAACCTCTGAGAGATGTAGATCTGAGAATCTCTCCCACAGAATTAATTAATAGTGGTATAAGGATGTATGTCCAAGGATATTCAGGGAAGTGTTATCTGAAAAGGTAAAAAACCTGAATCCTCCTGGTAAGTCACTTAGTCCATAGAAAACTGGGAAGAGTACTGCTCCCACTCTTACAATATCAAGAGCTCAATTATCTGCATAATCACAACTTTTATCAGACTATCAAAGAGCTAGGATTGAGGAGTAGTAACTAACTACAGAAACCTAAAGAAAGGTGCTTGCAGGGACAGAGAGGATGAGAGTATTCACCCATACCGACACTACATACCATGCAATTTGGTAGGAAGAATTTAGGTAAAATTTTAACAACTTGCTAGAGTCCTAGGAGGAGCTGGTGTGATACAGAAGCCATGGGATCTGCAGACACACAAGAAATGCATACCCATTCCCAGCCTTTCTACACGGACCTTCCCGGGTGCTCCAGAGAAGAACTGGTGGCAAAGAGGAGCAGCAACCTGCAGGAAAGGCACAAAGTCTCACCCATGTCCTGCTCTGTCACTTCTTCAAAACAAAAGCCTTAAAGCATGGGGGAAGGGTAGCAAACCTGCCATATTGAGACACACAGGAAGACCCAGAGTACCTACAGATTAAGAAAAGGAAACAAGAAAAAATAACAACAACAAAATAATCTACCAAGAAAAAGGAACAGAAGAACACCTTGAATGCTAACCAGCAGACATCTGCCCCACTGGTGTGAGGGAGAGACAGACAATGAAGAGTCCACACCCTGAGATGCAGGAACGCAACACTCACCTAAGACTGAATCTGTACCAGAGCAATACAGAATGCTCTTCCCACCAGTCCTCAACTCCCAAACCCCTCTAATATGCTAACAAATGTCAAAGAATAAGTAAGAACATTTCGCTGGGTGAGGCAAGCCGATGGAGAGACACTTTCTTGACACATATCATAAAGAGAATACCTAAACCTTAGTATGGATCAGCTATTAAGAAAAATCCTCTGGCAAACCATCTGCTACCCTAAGCACAAGGTAATATTAAAGGAATGTGAAGAGTAGTCACAGAAACAACAAGGACTAAGCCATTCGACTCTTGACTACATTGATTCTACACACCTAGCACAAGCAAAGGTGTGCTCTCTTCCAGATCTAAATATTATGTGTTTACTCAGTCTCTCTACCCTTCTGCCCACCTTTAAAACAGAAATTATGTGGTACAAAAGGAAGAAAAGAAAAACCAACATATGGTCAAGGGACAAAGCAATCAGCCTGCTCAGGCTTAGATATGACATAGCCATTGGAACCATCAGACAGGGAACTTCTTAAAATTTTGATTACTATGTTGAAGGTTCAGGTGGAAAAGCTGGGCAACATGTATGAACAGATAAGAAATTTTGTGAAAGAGGTGGAAATTTTAAGATCACATGGCAATGCTAGAAATGAAAATGAATCCTTTTGATACATTAATCAGTAGTCTCAGTACAACTGAGAAACTGCTGAACCTTCAAATGAATTTGCCCCAAATTAATCAGGTTATATGCCAATAATATTTAAATAAAAACACATGCATGTTCAACTATCCTCCCCCCAATATGCTGGGAAATTTTTATAAAATGCATATAACAATATGAATAGGCCTAACACTGTGTCTGGCTCAAAGTAGGTACTCACAGTATTTACTGAAGGAATTGATGCTCTTTGTCAGTGAATAAATTTAGTCATTAATGAGAACAGAAAGACAAAATAGAAATCACTCACAGTAATCTATGTTAAATTGAGCAACTCCAGAACCAGGGTAGTAAGAGCCCTTTTCCACATTGATAAAACAATGTTTATTTTGTTTTTCTTGAATAACTTTCTCTACTCTTGAAGTTCCTTGATTCATCAAATTCCAGCCTCGTATACATCCATCTAGACGAGGATTAATCTAACAAAACAAAATATACAACAAGGAGTGCACTTTTAACTTCTAAGTCAGACTGATAATTGTTTAACTGATGACAGATACAGATTTTTGTTTAGAGGTAAAAGCTTTTCTTGATGGCACTTTTAAATATTTTAAATGTATTGAATTTTGTCTAAAATTTTATTTTCAAAATGTTTTTCAGATGGACAATCTTTCCCAGTAAAAGTTAATTTAGGTCATCACAGGCCTCCGCTAAGGTCTTAATAATTTTCAAAACCTCAAGCCCCACCTGCCTCTTGTACATCATTCACGGGCAATTCTTCCGCTCTCAGCTTCTAGCTTCTAGCTGTGGCCCTGGGCTCTCTGCTGCTTTTTGTTTTTCTTTCACTGCATTTACCACATGGGCTTGTCTTGCCATCAGACTCAAGGCATCTTCAGGAACTAAAGTGTTTCCACCCTTCAGCCTCCTCATGGCATCCCATCAGACTGAAGACAGGTACTAGCCATTTTATAAATAGTTGATTCTTTTTGAATAATTTATTTTACTGTTAAAATGGATTGATTTTTCAATTTAAAAGGACAGGTATATTCACTCTGACATGGGTTCGCTAATTCAGGTTCTGTATCATATCACAGAACTCATTTGAGCTAAGGTAACCGTGAACTGCCATGAGTGAAAGATGGGTATAAAACAGAAGATATTTAAGTTATACCAGCAGGTGCAATTGGCAGATGAAATATTTAAAACTCTCCAAGGACAGTGATCAGTCTTCTTCCTGAAAGCTATTCTACAGTTAGACAAATACCATATTCAGAAAATCATCTACTATATCTAACTTCAATTTATGATAGGCTACAATTATACTCCCAGTAAAGATTTCTTAAAAATAAAAAAGTTCCACATTCTGTGCCATTCTCATCTCCCAAATTTAAGTCCTAAAATAGACCTAAGAAAGCTCTTTGACTGACTTTACAAAATAATGTATTTTTGGATTCAAATATATGTATTTATAAGTTTAATGTCTAAATATGAACTATTATGATGTCAGCAGTGGATTGAGCCTAAGAATTTAATTTTTTTACTTCTCCACAGATAATACTGGAGGGTTTAATGGGCTCAAAAATACTACACTCATTTTCTTATTTCCTTAAATAATTTCAAGGGCCACTAGTGTTATTTTTCCATGTTCAGTTTAAGTTGTCATAGTTGGTATGTTCAATAAAATAACTTCTTTTGACTTTTGTAATACTTTTACATCTACTACAGGCAAAAGGACTTTATCCAGGATGACTGATATCAGCGTGGATCATTACCGGTTTAATGAGTGTATCCTCCACCTTCCGAGGCAATCCTGCAAAGTACACTTTGGTTTCTACAGATCCATTTGTAGACTCAAAAAGGCTTTTTGGTATATTTATATTCATTGTGGCTTCTTTAGCTATTTTCACACTAATACTCCTTTCTAACTCTTCCACAGAGACCTAAAATTACAAAGACAGAGGTTATCAAACAATGAAACATCATTGCACATCATTTTAAATAGTAAGTTTGAAAAACTCTGTTATTGTTCCAGTAAATAATTTTCCAAAGTAATCATTTTAATGTAATTATTAATTTGCTTCAATCCATTTGAAGTGTCAAGTAATTATAAAGGTGATAAAAATGTGTTTTAGAGGAATAGTAACAGATTGAAAACTAAATGACTATATTTTAAAGTCTAAAAAATCAATATTATTCTATTAAATTTAAACATCCTATTTTATGTCCCTCAAGCCAGTATACCATAAAATAGATAGCTTTTTAAAAAGCAAGTCATTCTATTGAGTTTTTGAAAAGCGAGTCATTCTAAAGATTTTTTTAAACTCTTAACTTTTAAGTGCTCTTACTTGGTAATTGTCTGATAGTATACTATACAGAATCAATAATGTTAATAAATTCTTCATGTAAGTGAAAAGAAATCAGTACATCCAGCATTCTGGTCATTACACACAAATTATATTTTATTTCAACATCCAAAAGTAACTGAGGTTATTAGAAAGCACAATACATGAAATTAAACTGTTTTTTTTTCAAATTTTGAAAGTAGGTTGGGCCTCAAAATAAATATTGGTCGTGATAGTAAACAACAATAAAAAAATCCTCCTATAAAGGCAATTCAAAGAACCACTGTTGCAATCTCATGTAAACCTGTAGCTCTCAACATGCAAATTCTTCACTTACTAATCACTTAATGGAAGCCAAACAATAGGCAAGTTAAAGTACCACTGCAAGCAGAGAAAAACTATTCTCTAAAGTAAAATAAATTTGGTGACATTTACAGTTTTAGGTGGTACGCACTCTGTTCTTAATGTAGCCCTAATGACTATTCTATCCTTGAAAGACATCCCTAATAGCCACTAGGACCTAAGACTGGCTTGGTTCTCCTACCTTCTCACCATTCCTTCTCATTCTCCTTGCTACATCCTCCTCTTCTTCTCAACCTCTATCAAAACCCCAGGGTTCCACCTCCAGCTCTTTTCCCTTTAGCCATGCCAGTATTTCTAGATGGGTACTCTCTTGCCCCAGCCTTGGGCTCTTGGAAAATTTAGGCTGGGGATTACTCTTAGTTGTCACAATGAGTAGAAGGTGTAACATGATGACATTGATTTGCTGACATCGTAACATGAAGGGTAGTCATGCAAAATAAAGAATAAAATATCCAATATCCTGCAAATCTCCTGAATATCCCTACTGGATATTCATGCTTATAACTATCTCAGTTTGTGTATATATACACACAAAATATTCACTTTACTATTTTAGCATTTACTGATTTTTTTCAAGAAGTAACATTCTTGCCCTGGCTTGAGTGCAGCCAATCAGTGGATTGAGTGCGGGCCTGTGAACCAAGGGATCGCAGTTCGATTCCCAGTCAGGGCACAGTTGCAGGCCAGTTCCCAACAGGAGATGCACAAGAGGCAACCATACATTGATGTTTCTTCCCTCTCTCCTTCCCTTCCCCTCTAAAGATAAATAAGTAAAATCTTTTTAAAAAAAGAATGTAACAGTCTTGTAAACCAAGAATGGACTGATTTTGTTTTGTATGGATCTTCACCGAGAGGTTTCTACCCTTTTCAAAAATTATTATTACTGATGACAACCCCATTTATGCCCTTATGGTATTTTAGTTGCCAGTACAACAACCAGCATGAGTCTGCATTTGTAGCTTTCACATTATTCCATGTACAGAAGCAAGATTTGACAAGTATTATATTTGTACTGGAATATTTATGTATTGAATTATACATTATCTTCTTACAAAGTACTTTCCTTCATTTATATAATAATTAAAGTATTCTATTGTTTTTGTATTAGGGGTATGTGAAGGTAACTTACATTATTAATACATTTCATTATAGGACAGTAAAGGAACATGATGAATATTTGGGCACTGAATGAGAGAGTTTGGAACAGCAAGTTGACATACCCAATTTCATGGCCTTTACACCATTGTTTATGCTGAATATTCAACATTTTATGTCTATCTTGAAGGCTTGGCCTTAAAAATATATCCAGAATCTGATCACTTATCACAACTCACACCACCAACACTGCAACGAAAGTTGCCATCTTCACGCTACTGTGTGATTGCAATGGTCTCCTCATCCCATGTCCTGTTCTACACTTACACTCTACTACCTATTTTTCACAAAGCCATGAGGTCCTGATCAGAATTACCTTTTAAAATGCAAATTAAATTATATCATGTCTCAAATCACCCAAAATCTTTCCAGTCAGCATTAAAGTCTAAGTCCTTATTATGTTCCCCAAGGCCCTAGCCTTATTATTCCAGGTTATATTTCTGACCTCATTTTCTTCTACTCTCTTCCTGTCTCCCTCCACTGCATCTACACTGACCTTTGTGTTGTTCCTCAAATGATAAAAACACTTCCTCTTGCTTTTCATGTGGCATAAAATCATCTTCCCCCATGTATTTCTCATGACTTTGCCCTCAAGTCTCTGGTCTGATGTAATCTCATCAGAGAGGGCTTTCTTGATTCCATATGCACACTCACCATCATCACTCTCTATTGCCTGGCCTTTTCTTTTTCCTCATAGCATTCATCACTATCTGCCATATCTATTTGTCCATGTATTTCAGGTTTTCATCTCACCAACAGAATGAAAGCTCTATAAGAGCAGTGACTTTGTTTTACTTACTATTGTATCCTCATCACCTAGAAGAAGGAATAGCACATAAAGTACTCGATAATCATTTTGCTGAATGAAATTATGATAGAAAGTATATATTTCCCACTAATATTAGGATTAAATCTAAATAGGAGATATAATAATCACTTATAAAGAATCAATATTTCTATGGATTACAGCCATGTTAACTACTTAATAATTATCCATTCCATTCAATTTATCTGAGATATAAAACAATCAAAAGTTATATATTCTGATTTTAATTTCTTATTTTTAAGTATTTTATTTAAAATTTTAAAATAATTTAAAATTAGTAAAACAACTGCTATATAGTAAGTAGTCCACCTGATAGAGCAATTAATTTAACAACTTTGCTGATTAAAATGCTACTTAGACTTCTGGTCAAGATGGAGACATACATAAACACTCCACCTCCTTGCATAATTAGAGCACAAATTACAACTAGACTACAAAACAAGTAACACCCAGGTTCATCAGAAAAATCAAGCTGTACGGAAGTCTGACAACCAAGGATTTAAAGAAGCAACATTCATCCAGACGGGTAGGAGGGACAAAAATGCGAAGAGGTGTGGAGAGGTGGAGATGCGCAGAGAGGTGAGGAGACTTGAGTGGCTGGAGAGGTGGCAGAATAGGTGGTCTCACATTCACATGTAGTGGATAAAAATTGGGAGTGAGGGAACTCAGCCTCACCCAAGATGACCCAACTCAAGGTTCCAGCACCAGGTAGATAACTCCCCATAACTTCTGGTAATAAAAACCAGTAGAAGTGGGGCAGTGGAATAAACTGCAGGATTCTCTGGAGACTCCTCTTAAAGGGTCTCCAAATGACTCAGGACTTATGCAGACCCATTCCCTCTAGGATTCAGAACCAGGGCAACAGCTGAAAGGGTACAAGTGGCAACTAGGAGACAACTTCTTCCCCAGCAAATCTCAAGAGGCCAGGCAGTGGCACTGTCCCCTCCTTGCGCCCTCCCCCATGCAGAGCCATGAAGCAGTGAAATGAGTTGCCCCACCTGGACAATTGCCTAAGCCTCCACCTGACACAATTTACAGGTGCCTTTTCTACAACAGGCTATACTACTAAGACAGGGAATCAAGCAGCTCAACCTAATACATAGAGACAAACATGGGGAGGCTGTCAAATTGAGGAGACAAATAAATATGACCCAAATGAAAGAACAGAAGAAAACTCTCCAAAAAGAGAATTTAAAAAAATGGATAAAAGCAACCTATTGGATGCAGAGTTCAAAACACTGGTTAGCAGGATACTCAAAGAACATATTGGGTATTGCAACAGCATAAAAAAGGCCCAGGCAGAAATGAAGATTGCCTTAAGTGAAATAAAGAAAAACCTACAGGGAACCATCAGTAGAGGGGATGAAGCTGAAAGTCAAATCAACAATTTGGAACATAAGGAAGAAAGAAAACATTTAATCAGAACAGCAAGAAGAAAAGAGCATTCAAAAAAATAAGAATAGAATAAGAAGCCTCTCAGACATCTCCACCTTACCAATATCTTAATCATAGGGGTGCCAGAAGACGAGGAAGAGCAAGAAATTGAAAACTTACTTCAAAAAATTGGGACAACTGTAATCACATAATCAATAAAATATATTTTTGAAAAAAATAAAATGATACTTAAATTATTTCAAGTAACTTCTATGCTGCATAAATTGGTTTGAAGCATTACATTTACTAACAAACCTTCAAAATTGTAAGCTGATAAAATATCATGTGGTAATTTTTTTAAATGAAAGATATGAAGTAGGAAAAGAAATCTTACTTATATGGGGAGGAATTCATAAATCCTTAAAATATTGAATCAAGAATTTAAGAAAAACCACTAGCACCATATTTATCACCAAATTAATATTTTTCTGTGACTTGTTTATTTTTCCTAAATTTTATTTTTATATAAAATGCATTGTTTAAATTTTCAAAAATGCATTCAAAATTTTAACTAATTTTTTAATGCTTACCCAAGGACATTTTTTCTCATTGGTTTTAGAAAGAGGAAAAGGGAGAGAGAGAAATGTCAATCAGTTGTCTACTGAGAGCTTTTGCACAGGGGATCATACACACCGGACCAGGGATCAGGGATTGAACCTGCAATCTAGGTATGTCCCCTGACCAGGAATCAAACCCCCAACCTTTCAGTTATGTGATACCACTCCAACCAACTGAGTCACACCAGAAAGATCTGAACTAAAATGTTTTAGTTGAAATGTGGCTATACAGTAAATAGCTTCTTTCAAACAAGGATCATAAACATAGGAGACAAAAATGTATGGAACTAACTTGCTGCCTTCCATCCAACCCTAAATCCTGCCTTTAACAGTATGATTCAGGGAGAATTCATTAATGAACGTGATCTGCAACTCATGATGTTAATCTCACAGCTAAACATTTGCCTTCTTTATGATACATAATAAAACCTAACTAGGCATTTATTAAAATTCTACTTCAATCAACTTTTTTCTATTTGTATAAACTCACTGGGGAAAAATGCTCTCTTTTGCTGAAAAGGTGATTGTAGTGATTTTAAATACATTATTTTGGGACATTAGGCAATCCCTTATCCAAGAAAATCTCCATTTAATAAAGTTTATTAAAATGATGTTATTGATTATTAAAATAAAGGCCTATTATTAGGTACTACTTGAAATGCTAGTTTCTAAGCACTCTAATTGCTACTGGCAAACATAAACTGCGTAGATTGATTACCTATATGCTAATATTTAAAACTGAATTAACTTTGATTTTGTTTCTAAGTGTAATTCTCTTTCATTGAAAAATAATTGGTGGCTATTCAGTATAGCTGTCCTTCATCAGTGGTGTCTTTGCATAAACTATTATGCCAGCTAATAACTCAGATCTATAAGAGAGACACCCCTGTTCACCCAGTGAGAGCCACTAAAAAAGGTAAGAAGTCAGCTCTGGCCAATGTGGCTTGGCTGATTGGAGCATCAAGCAATAAATGAAAGGTTGTGAGTTCAATTCCCAGTTGGGGCGCATGTCTGGGTTGCATGTTGGATACTTGGTCCCAGCACCTAAGATCCCCAGTCCTGGTGTGTACAGGAGAGGTAACCAATAAATGTTTCTCTTTCACTTCAATATTTCTGTCTCTTGCTTCTCCATTCCCTTCCTCTCTCTCTAAGAACAATGAAAAATGTCAAGTGATAATTAGAAGGGTAAGTAGTTAAAGACAGACTACATCAAGCAAATAACTGAAAACCACTTTAGTCAGGAGAAAACCTGAATATATTAAGTGAGGTTATTCTTCTTTAGGCCATTTCATGGATTTGTAGTGCACAGAATATATTTCATAAAACATCAAATTAAATCCAACCTCATCTAGGTTCAGTATCACTATAAAAATTAAGTTATTAATGATTTATACAATCTATGTCAAAGTGAAAAGATTCTTTATAAAATCTGCACAACGTACCATATTCCACACACCATTATTAATAACCTGGCCTCCAGTTGTGATCTGTGTTGTATGTTCATTCTTAAACTGAATTTCAAGCTTTCCATCACGAACTGCAATCAGGAACCAAGCTGAGTGGTCAATAGATTCTGCATAAAGTATAACACCTTCTGAATCATATGTCCGGAAATCAAATGTGGCTGAAAATCTAAACAATGGACAAAGAGAGAGTCTTAATAGTGTGAATACGGAAGGCTCATGGTATTATTCCTTTTTTCTTGTACTGGCAAAAAGCAGTATGTTGAAAGAGTAGACTATTTCTGTCCTTGGGATTAATAAGAGACAAGCACAGACTTAGACTGTTACTATATTATCTCTGGTTCCATGTGTGTTAAAATTAAGTTATTATACTTTTTTCCTTATTCTTGGAGCCTTTCATCCCAGTGAACAGATATTTGGGTAATTTTCCATCATTTTTTGGTATTGGTTTTGGAGGCACTCTTTCAAATGCTTGAATTAATGCACATGTACCAATTTTAGGCATATTGTATCTCTCCTAGACTCTTTTATACACTATATAATTTGGTTAAGTTCTTTTTGCTGTATCTGTAAGTGATCAGTAAAAGATATTACAATTTCATTATTGGTTTATCCATCATAATGCATATTTTCCCCATGATTTCATATATATCAGGAAGAAATCACTCACAGAGATACATAAAATAGCATCTGGATGACTGAAAATACAGTTCAGCCTTCATGTGTGGTTAAAAAGGTAAAGTCAAAAAATGTATCTGTTAGCTTGATTTCAAAAAGGTCTTCCAAACTCTAACTGCATAAATCATTCATACTAGAATACATGGGAAGAGAGCTTAAAAGATACAGTCTAATACTAGCAAACCAAATTCAACAATATATTAAAAAGGATTATATACCATAATCAAGTGGGATTTATTCTAGGGATGGGAGGATGATCCAATATCCACAAATCAATCAACATGATATACTATATTAACAAAATGAAGAATAAAAACTATACATCATCCTAATACACACAAAAAATACTTGCTAAAATTCAACATCCATTTATGTTAAAAACTCTCAATAAAGTGGGTATAGAGGGGATGAATCTCAACATAATAAAGGCCATATGACAGACCAACAGACAACAACATATTCGGGGGGAAAAGTGAAAGCTTTTCCTCTAAGAGCAGGAACAAGACAAGGAGCAGGACAAGACAAGTGGCTTTCTCTTGCCACTTTTATTCAACAAACTCTTGGAAGTCCTTGCCATGGAAATCAGGCTAGATAAAGAAATAAAAGGTGTCCAGACCAGAAAAGAAGAATCATGACTTGCAGATGACATAACACATGTAGAAAACCCTTTAGACTCCACCAAAAACTGTTATAATAAATGAATTCAACACAGCTGCAGAATACAAAATCACTGTACAGAAATCTGTTGTTTCTATCCACTAATAACAATCTATCAGAGAAATTAAGAAAACAATCCCATTTACAGTGGGACCAAAAAGAATAATACCAAGTAATTAATTTATCCAAGGAGGTGAAACACTTATGGACTGAAAACTGTAAGACACTGATAAAAAGAACAACAAAAACTGAAGATACAAATAAATGTGAAAACATTTTGTACTCGTGAACTGTTAGAATTAATATTGTTAAAATATTCACACTACCCAAAGCAATCTAAAGATTCAGTTGCAATTGCAATTAAAATTCCAATGCCCCCCCTCCAGTCCTCCGCCTTCATTGCCACTAGAATGCCGCAGGGCCCTCCCCACAGGCCCTGGGCTGGGCACGGCCTCCACCTTCGTAACTTATTCTTTTCTGCTTCCTTCCTTTCTCCTAGTCACTCCTCCAGTCTCACCGGGTCTGGTTTTCTGTATTCTTTCCTCTCTTTCTCCAGTGTCTCTCTGCGCCTATGTACGACTAACCTTCCCAGCCCCATGTGTGTTCTTTCTCTCCTTTTCTGTCTCTGGGTCTTCCTGTTTCTCCCCCCTCCTTTTCCCTCTCCCTTGTCTGTTTTTCTGTGCTTGGCCCACCCTCTCTCTCTCTATGGCTCCCTCCAGTCCCTCCCCCTGGAACTCTCTTGTCTCTCTCCCATCTGGCAGACCACATTCCTCTCCATCTCCATCTGTCCCCCTTCACAGCCCCTCTGCCTTCCCGGTCCATAGCCCTCCCTCTTCCTATCCCACAGAGTCTCTCCCCATTCAGCCCCTTTTCAGGGCACTGTCCAGGCCTTAGATCCCAGGCCTGGGCACGCCTAGGGCCAGCTGGGCAGGGGACACCAATCCCTGGTCCCCACGATCTTTCCCCCCAAACCTCAACCCCATAAAAAATTCTGATGGCAGTTTTTGTGGAACTAGAATAAATAATTCTAAAATTTCTAGGGAACCACAGAAGATCCCAAACAGCTAAGGCCGGAGGTATCACACTTCCTGATTTCAAACTACACTGCAAAGCTATAGTAATCAGAATGGCAACAAAATGGCAAAAAAAAAGAAATGGACACATCAACAGAGCAGAACTGACAGCCCAGAAATAAACCCACACATGTATGGGCAATCAATTCATGGCAAATGAGTCAAGAACATACAATGGAGAAAGAACAGTCTCTTCAATAAATGGTGTTGGAAAAGTGGACAGCCCCTTACAAAAGAATGAAACTAGACCACTAGCTCACATAATATACAAAAATTAATTCAAGATGGATTAAAGATTTGACTATAAGACCTGAAACTATAAAATACATAGAAAACAGGATGTAAGCTTCTTGACATCTGTCTTTGCAATGTTTTCATGGAACTGACTCTAAAGGAAAGGAGAACAAAAAGCACAAATAAAAAATGGAACTACATCAAACTAAAGAGCTTCTACACAGCAAAGGAAGCAATAATCAAAATGAAAAGGCAACCTATCAAACTGGAGAAGATATTTGCAAACCATACATCCAACAAAGAATATCTAAAATATACAAAGAATTCAAACAACTCAACAACAATAGTTTAAAAATAAGCAGAAAATCTGAATAGGCATTTTTCCAAAGAAGGCATACAGACAGCCAACAGGCACATGAAAAGATGCTCAATTTCACTAATAACTAGAATAATGCAAATCGAATCTATAATGAGACATAACTTCAGACCTGCTAGAATACCTATTACCAAAAAGACAGGAAAGAAGAAATGTTGGATAAGATGTGGAAAAAAGGAAACCTTCATACACTATTGATACTAAAGTAAATTGGAACACCACTGTGAAGAACAGTATGGAGATTCCTCAAAAAATTAAGAACTACCATATAATCCAGAATTCCACTGCTGGGTATTTATTCAAAGAATACAAAACATTAATTTGAAGAGATAAATGCATCTCTATGTTCAATGTAGCATTATTTACAATAGCCGAAAAATAAAAAACAACGTAAGTGTGTGACAGATGACTGGATGAAGAAGACATGGTATATACACACACATGCACACACAGGACTACTACTCATCCACAAAAGGAATGAAATCTTGCCCTTTGAAATAAAAAGAATAGAATGAGAGAAATCAGATAGAGAAGGACTAATACTGCATGAATTTAAAACAAACAAACAGAACACATGAAAACAAAACAAATTCACAGATACAGAGAATAGGTTGGTAGTACCAGAGGGGAAAGGAGTTTGAGGGGTAGGTGAGAATGGTGTAGAGGGTTAATTGTATGGTGAAGCACAGTAACTAGACTTTGGGGGGTGATCACTCAGTAGCATAAACATATATCAAATTATAATGTGCACCTGAAACTTATATATGAGGGGAAGACCACACCCGAAATGGAATTATTTTCTACAGGGCAAGCCCCTTGTAGTATAGGCTTCCCTTGCTAGGTGAGTGTTCTACAAACCCATCTGTATCAGTGTACCAGCTGGCAGTGTGAGAAACTGCATTTAGCATCAGTGAATTTTTTTTTGAAGACTCAACACTTGGCCCACTTTATGACGGGTGATTTACGAGTGCACCTTCCCACACTGCACTGAGTGTTCGGCAGTTTTTGACCAAAAATGACAAGATCCCTGTGCCCCTCACCCCTCTTCATAGGATCTTGCTGAAAAAAAAAGATCCTTTTTTTGTTGTTTCCCCACTTGAAAAAAGTCCTTAAAGGGAAATGTTTGCTGATGTGAAAGAGGCAGAAACACCAAAAGGCATCAAAATTGACAAGTTCAAAAACTGTTCTGAGCAGTGGAAAAAATGTCTCGATAGGTGCATTGCATCAAATGGAGGGTACTTTGAAGGTGACTGAAGTTTAATATGTAAGAATAAATGCACAACTTTTTATAAATAAATTTCAGGTTTTTGCACCCCTCTGTAATGTTATATACCAATTTTATCCTAAAAAACAGAAAGAGTCTAGCCATGTGTTTTGGGCTATCAGAGTTCTGGCAATGCCTGTTGCTATTAAGACTCTGGACACAGATGTGGCTATTACAAGGGGGAAAAATCTAACAGCTGCTACATTTTAAAATAATATGTATTGATTCAGTGACCATTGGACATTTTAATGAGAATCAGCAATAAATTATCAAAGGGACCAGCAAATCAAAATGATCAAAAAAATACAAGGAATACAAAAGTATAACTATTAGTCCCCTGAGTGAAATTAACACAAAGATAACTTAAGTTAAAAAGTTAGGACTTTTGCTAAATACAACAAGGAACCCCACACCTTATCCCTCAGTGTAACAGTAATAACAACAGAGGTACCATTTGCAATGCAGCACTGATTTACTTCTAATGGAACAAAGAAAGGTGATACGATAATCTTTTTAATCTTAGAATTTCATGGAAATATTCTAAAGAAGTAAATGTGAAGTAAAGTGTGCTGAATGGATAACAATGTAATAGAAATATACTGAACTCAGATTATTTCATAAGGAAATAATTTTTTCGTAGAAAAAGTACTTTTTTCCCATAATCATCATATTTTGCTGATATGAAGCATGTGTTATCTTGACAAAACCTAAATCTGTGTATGCTCAGAATCTTCCTTAATAATTCTATTATGGAGATAATTTCTGTCTCTTTGTAAAATCACGCTGAACCACTAATTCAGAGTCGTGTTCTGCATATTTTCTTTCTGAAATACATCAACATACTGATTCATTACACTGGGGAACAATTCATTATTTTTTCATAAGTACTGTAGAGTAAAAAAAGAGTGAAGTGAATCTGTTATCTTTTGGGTAGAGTAGTTGATCATGGAAAATAGCTGAAGGAATTTGAAAAAATAGAAAAAAATCAAAAAAGCACTAGCTGTTCTTTTTGTTGGTTACACAGGTGGTAGTTCATAAAAATTCATCAAGCTGTACATTTGAAACATGTCCATTTCTGTATACATTATACTTCAGTGAAAAGCTTAAACTAAGTAATTAACTAAGTAAATAAATAAAACTGGGAAAAATAATTATTTGGCCAATTTGATCCAATGTTAGACTCCAAGCTATTATGAATTGTCTCTGAGAAATGAATACCCCTGAACATGCCTGAAAGTATTTAATAGTTATTTTTTCCTCTCTCATTTTAATTATTTACTTGGCACAGAACAGTTATCTCTAATCTATCACTATATGATGTTATCTGTTCTGAGATGTTAAAGGGGAAAACCGGGTTGTAGCAGAAAATAAAGTGTTGAAGAAGCACAATTACATCAGTGAATCTTAGAATAAATTTCAATGATTCTTAATGCTAAGATTTCTTTGAATTCACATTTAATGAAAAATTGCTCATGCACATAATAAATTAAATTCTAAATATGGCTGTTTATTTCATTAAAGTATTTTAAAATTTGGACTCTATAACTACTCTCAAACATGTTTCCTTTACATGATTCCAACTCTAATTTCTTTTTTCAGATTGTGTATGACTCTGAGACAATTTGATAATTAAAGTAGAATCACGACTCAAAAACATAAGCAACTACTTCTTCCTAACATCACCCTAACTATAGGAATAGAAGATAAAGTACTCAGTGAGTCTATTAAAACCATGTGATTCATTTCTTTAATTGCACTTAAGCAATCTTACGAATGTTCCTTAATAAGTATGAATATAATCATATTTAAAAGCAATACTTTTGAGTCTTTTCTCGTGACTTAGTTTTTAAAACATATATAAAAAACAATACAAGTTTTACACATACACTAAATCTACTTTCCCAGCTTCTTAGTAAATGTGTATTCACTACAAAAGGAAGGATGAGGGGAAAAGGGAAAATACAGTCAGCGGGGAAAGCCTGCCTAGAATGACCCAAACTGGCTCTGGCATGGAAATTACACAGGTGAAGGAGTGGATTAACTTTATGGCTTTCCATATCATCTGATTGATAATATACCTAAATTTCTGATTTATAAGCAACTTCATACATTTCAAGCTTGTTCAGTCACTTTTTCTATTCTGACCTGCTTACCTCTAGAAATTGTCACTGATATTGGTACCTCACCTGATGACATCCGGTAAGCGAAATTTTAGATATAAAACAACCCCTGCAAACTGCTCTGCCAAGTAAAGTAGTTCATAATTTTTGTCAAGGTCCAAGGGAAGGCACACTGGAATAGCCTAGAGGAAAGAAAACACACAAACAAATGCATAATTTACTGCTTGATGTTTTTGTCATAGATGATGCCCTGTTTCTTTGGTTGCTGGAGTTCTTGTCAAATGCGTCCTCTATGATACACTAAAATTTAAAATATTAAAATTTTTAATATAAAATATTTAATATAAAAATATTAAAATTTTAAAATATCTTGGTAATAACAAAGCCCTATCTTTTACTTTCCTGTGGAGTCCATCAGTATAATCTCAGAGCATATGTGTGTTTTAAAATCTTGCTGAATGTGTCCGGCTTCATATTTTTGTCTTTAATATTACCTTTGTATATTACAATCTGAAATACAAACTTTTTTCTCTAGTAACAATATGTAACACCTCATTTCACTGATACAGGTATCAGACCTTCCACAAATTATTCTTGAAAATTATTTTTATTTGGAGTCATAAATAGGTGAGAAAATTAATGTACCAATAAACAGTACCTCATTTGTTCACTCATTTATTAGTAAGCAAAAAATTTCTGAGCAAAAATTGTGCTAACCAGATGGGAATGGGAATATTGAAACACTTAGATGGAATAAATATAAATAAGGTATCACCGTAGTCTCCAATGAAGATACCAAAAAAGTGATTTAGTCATTAAACCTGAAATCAAGTACTTTCTTCTGAAAAATAAAAATAAACATTAAAATGTAAAGTCTTTTAGACATAAATTCTTAGGCATATATATGGCTATTTTGGAAGGAATTGTGTACATAGCACTATATTAAATTTAGGTCCAAAAATAACATTTCATCTCCTCTTACAACTTTAATAAACCTACTCAGAGGTAGATGGTGATCTGTAACTACAATAAATATTCAAATTATAACAGTTAATTACAATCTAAATGTTCAGACAGCATGGCACTTCCAAGTAAGTACTTCCAAAGTTAGTACACAGGCCAACTATCTCATCTCACCACCCTCTACCAAGTAGGTAGGAAAAACTGAATGTCACATTTTGGGAGACATAATACAGCACTGTCTTGATTATAAAGAGGCATGTGTATACACACTATTAAATTGTTATTAAGGATTTTGTCTTTTTACTGTTTGCCTCATAATCATATAAAATTTCACCTTCACTTGTAAAAGTAAGAGATACAAGAACCACACTAAGAATCACAAACATATGATCCTTATTCAGAAAAAAAAATAGCCTCAGAGGTTGATCTATTTATTTGAATAAAGGGAAAACTAGAACCTACCCCTAACATTCAATTTCTGGGTGAATTATGTGTTAAATCTCAGTAACTGAAAGCAAGTTCAATAAATACAGATGAACAAAATTAGTCTCTAAAATTTCTGATATACACAAACCCCACTCAGTGTTCTAGTCTGACAGAGTCGTTTCCACCCGAGATTTTATGAACACTCTTGCAGGTACTAACATGCCTAGGGTGTGATCAAACTTGTGATCAGAATGGTGAATAAAGAAAAGTAGACACTGAGAAACATTTTCACTAAAGTTTTAATGCAAGATTTTTTTCCTCACAAAGTATAAACTTCAGCTTTCCTTAAGTTTCTGAAATCAGCACATATATTTTGTATTGTGTAAATGTACGTGCCATACATATGAGCCTCTCTGAACTGTGACCCTGCAGCTTTTCTTCTTATTTAGGTAATAATTATTCCCACTTGTTTATGACTTTACATGACCACAATTAGTAAATAGATTGTGACTCTCCGTGTAAATGGAAGTATAGTAGTAATTGTAGAACACCTGTATTTTTCTGGAAAGTGTGCCTGGACTCTTCTTTTAGAAAAGAGATGGGATGTTTAGCATTGCAAAATGTTACCTCACAGTTCCTCTGATCGTGGGCAAGCTTGAATCCTTTCTTCCCATCACAGTAACAAGAATAACCTCCAGGGTAATTGACACAAAGTTGAGCACACACGTTGTCAGAGCATTCATCCACATCTGGAGTAAAAGAGAATGTAAGTCTTAGTATCTCCTAAACGCTCAATGCGGTAGAAGGAATATTCTGATTTTAGTCTGAGATATCAGTGATAACAGATCCTTAGTGAAGAAGATCTCTACATCAAATTACATTTAAACACTTGGCATGAAAATTTAAGTGAGCCACAAGTGTAATTCCTATGTATTTATAAACTCAAAACCACAAATTTAATGTAAAAATTCCATTAACAGTTAACAAAAATATAGTAAGTTTGCTAATTTTCTGAGTGTGAGTTTGAAGGAAAAAGGACTGAACCTCAAGTTAGTTGTCATTTCTGATATCATTCCACTGAGACAACCGCACAATTCTTTTCTTCAAAGAAAAGAAAGGGAAGGGAGAGAGGAGAGGAGGGGGGAGGAGGAAAGGAAGAAGGGGAAGAAAAGATTCCTTTTAACTGAAAGGCAATGTACTTGAAGATTAAATGACAATATCAAAACCATTTAACTGTTCATAATGCAATGATTAATGGCGGCAATAAATTTAAGGATATACCTTTTTCCTTATCTTTAATAAAATAACAAAACCGAAAATCTCTCTGTGTTACATTATCTCCCATATTGTGAAATCTATGTGGTCCCTGTTCTCACTCCATATTTTGAGAAAAATCAGCCTTGAAAATTTGTAATAATAAAGCTTCTGCTAAAGTCCACTTCAGAGCTCCTAACCTTTTTCGATGAACACACCCAATGAGATCTTTGAAAATTCCCAAATTCATAAGTGCTATATAACACAAAATGCTTTAAAATAGAAACTCAAAATTAGTGAACCCTCAATACCATTAAAAGGTAATGTTATATAATTAAAGTAATAAAATATGATGTCCTGTAAATCATTTTTAATCTGTCATTCACTGAAAAGAACTATAACATCAATGATAAAGTTGGCTAATGGTCCATCTACAAATGCCTAGGGTTTACCACAGTAATTTCTATCTGGAGTGGTGGGAGAGTAGAAATGGTGTGTTGGGGGGGGGGTTCTGGTGAGTGTGTGAAGAGGTGAGGCCTCAAAATCTCAAGAGGAGTATATATAATTGAAAGACTGTATTCTAAAATTATTATTAAGTTAGGCAAATTCACGGAGACAGGAAGTAGGTTAGAGATGAACTGGGTTTGGAAGAGGGAGAAAGAGCAATTACTGCTAATGGTTACAGAGTTCAGTTTGGGATGGTAAAAACTTTTAGAACAGATAATGGTAATGGTTACATGACTATGTAAAATATAATTAATGCCACTAAACTGTACACATAAAAATGGTTAAACAGCCACATTATATCTCATATATAGTTTGCCACAATAGAAAAATTACTATTTATTTTATTGGTTTAGTCATAGTATTAAATTCATTTTGAAATTTTAAAAATTTAAAAGAAGAAATGAGATAATTTGTATATATTCATGATGAAAAAAAATAATGCCCTGACAGGTACATCCAAGCTGCCTGAGGCACACGCACAGCACCACTGCAGCCAAATAAAATAATACCAAGTCCAAGGGCGTCCACCCTCATCCACAGGTGCTGACAGTACTAATCTGTGCTTCTCTCATTTCTAGAGCCATTATCATTTGGTTATACTTTTATTTGTCTTTTATATGTATTTAATTATAATAGAATGTTGTTATTTCCTATTTCGCACACAGAAAATCATAGTTGGTATAAAATTAAGGGTTTCTAGCCAACCTTGTTGTAGGTAATGCCCACATAATTTTTTTTTTTATCCCACATTTTTTATTGTTGTTCAAGTATAGTTGTCTCCATTTTTAAACTTGCCTTTTTGTATATGTGTGTTATTCCTTCCAGCTTGAAATTTTTTTACCCTTGAATATTATTTAAATGATGTGAAAATACGTGTATTTTGCTTTTCTCATACGTGTGAGGTCTCCAATCCATTATTTAGCTTAGACAACCAATCAGGGCACGTAACACTAAACCTAATAATCATGTGTCTTACATATACTTTTACTCTGGACGGAAGCCAATGATTGATTACTCAACTGACCAAACTATAAGATGGATTTTACCATCATAGAAAATCTGATTGTTGGTGTCAAACAGAACCAACACTTCTAACATCAAATCAGCGTTCCAACCCACTCTCTCCACCATCAACAATGACACCACCATAAGTCTACCTTCACAAGACTTTGATGTGGGATTGTATCTGTAACCTTCAGCACATTCACATTCAAAGTCTCCTGGGAAGTTCTTGCACACAGCTGTGCCACAAATGCCAGGCTTCACAGAGCATTCATCCACATCTGTAAATTAAACCAATATGTTAGAGAACATTTTTCTCATATGTTGATCTGTGTTTCCTGGACCTGGTTTAATATGAAATAAGACAACAGAGTGGCCTGGGAATAACAAAATATTAAATCTAATACCATATTTTAGTTCACTAAGTATATCTTTATGCAAATGCAAGCAATCTGACTGATGTTTGCAATGTTCCTGTGTGGTTATATAAAAGAAAAACAGGACTTTAGTTATTGTCTTATCTACCAGGTTACAGTAAGAAAGTAAATAGGATAAGGGATACACCATATTCTTAATATGTATTCCTAAATATACATTACTGAATTATGGTCTTAAAAGTATATTCTTTGTGTTATCACAAATATAAAAAATAAAAATGAGCCAGCTTATCAGTCTTATGTTTTTTTTCCTTGAAAATGGACAATGGCTAAATCTGCATACCATTATTATTGCCTGAAATATTCAAGAATGATTCAAACTTAAAATGAGATTGGTGACTAGGGAGTAGGTGTTGGGAGGTTGGATTTGGCAGAGGAGAGAAAAGGGGGAAAATTGGGAAAACTGTAATAGAATAAAAATTAAAAATACAAATAAAATGAGATTGAATAAGGTCTTAAAGTATTTATGAATCTGCAATTAATCCAATACAAATTTTAGTGCTAAATTCATATTCCTGAAATTTCAGATGCATTTACTATATTATATAGTGGAGAAGGAGACAAAATATTGATTGCAATTAGTTACTAGATAAACACCTGTGAAAAAAATAAAAACAAATGACAGAAATAGTTAAATGGATTTCTAATTATAAGTAAACTTTCCTCGTTTGTACTCTCTGAAGAAAGTCAAGTTAGATTGAAAAAATGCATTTTCTTCTCTAAAAAGTTGAGAGTTCAATTTTTCAACAGAATAATAGCCAAAATTTCAGAAACTACCCTATTGAGAGTGACATGCACAAAAATAGTAGAATCAATCCCTTGTGGTAAGGGAATTTGTCTGTATTTTGACTGTATCAGTGTCAGTATCCTGGAGATGATCATGTTCTATAGTTTTGTAAAATGTTACCATTGGGAAAAACTGGGTAAAGGGTATATGGAATCTCTTTTTATTATTTCTTACAACAGCATGTGAATCTACAGTTACGTCAAATCTTAAAAGAAAATAAAAACATATGCCTAAATTATTTGGTCTGAGAAAGACTGCAAGGAATTATTTAAGTCATATGAGTTCAGGTTACAGCACATTGCTTTTACGACTCTACACTGACATCAAATGACTGATGAAAAGTTTTACTCTTGAATTTTTAGACATTTACTGGCAACTTGATCCAAGCATATTCACATGTTGACAAAGGCCTTACTATAACAGCTGTATACATATTCTTCTAATAGTTCTGTGCTGTATTCTTTAGCTGCTATGGATAAAAAGCTATGCAAATGAAGACCATAGGTTCTAGTCATCGGGGACATTCTTATTTGTGGGTACTTTTTGTAATAATTTACATACGCATGCATAAATTCAGTATATAAGGATTAAGTGCCTTTTAATTAAAAATATAAATCATGAGCTCTTCAGGATAGACTAATTCAGGTTTTAAGTATAGACATATGAGTGGGTATTATTTGTCTGTGGCGTACATGGTATCCTGCATTCTGCTGCTTTTCTCTAAGCAGTGTTCTAATAACATTGGTGTTCTAAATTTCTAACCTGAAACAGACTTTCAAAAAGGCAACCAAGAAAGATATATGGTCACAAATTAGGTATGTGTTTAGAAGAAATTGTTAGTTAATACAGTTCACTTTAGTCATTTAAATGTGCTTTAAATAATATTAGACTAAATTACACTATACTGAACATAACTACAGTGTAGTGAGGGACAGACCACTCCTTGACTATTTAATTGGGTGGATTTACCAAAGTAGATAAGCACGAAGTCGAACGAGAAAACTTTACATTTTAATTTACTATTTTTTAACCTTGTGGCAAGAAGAACAGGATGAGGATGAGGAGAAGGAGGAAGAGAAGGAGCAAATGAGGGAGAAGGAGAAGAAAAAGAAGACAGGGAGGGAGGGAGGAACAAGGAAGGAGGGAAGGAAGAAAAGAAAGAGAAGTGGCAGGGAGGGAAGAAGAGAGGAAGGAAGGAAAGGGAAGAAGGAAGACTCACTTCTAGTTTCCACACACAAAATTTAAATTCAGGCAGGAAAACTTCATTTTTAGCCATCCACACACCTACCACTTACACCTAAACATTTAGTTATGGCAATTAAAACAGCCTGACAGAAAAGACATTATGCAGAAAGAAAAACGTCAAAACTTGGGAAAAGAGAAGCATAGAAAAATGAAATAAACTAGCAAAATTACTGATAAAAAAAAGCTAAATTGACAGGAATTATTTAAGTCTGAAATTAAAAAAATTAAGACTTATGAACAATAATGTGCTCTTATATGTATAAAAAGAAAGAAAATCAGTTCTTCATTCTTCCAAAACCACAACCAGAAATGAGGTGCAAGAGGAAAGCTTTATATTGGAAATTAGAAAGGTATTGACAAGAAAATATAAAACACAATAAAAGAAGTTACTAAGGATTGTGCTAAATTTCTTTGTATAGTTGTTTATCTTATTGGACTAAAGGAAATAATGGGATAGTGTCTGAAAAGGAACGATAAACAACCATTTTTCACACACTGTAGTACATGCAAGGACTTGCACTGAACCTTCACTTTGTCACCACATAATGAAATTCTTTATTAAAACATGATCACATGTGTATACACACATATACACACAACAAGAAAACAATACTCTACAAATAACAAACTACAATAAGAAAAAAATAAAATATAAATGATAAAATTCCCTATAAATAATAAACTAAAAGGCAGTCCCATAATATCACAAGGCTTCAAGTGGATAATAATGTGCATTTATTATAACAGCTTACAACCAGAGAGTTTTACAAGAATTTCCTGTGGAACTTTCTTTAACTGAATTTTACTCTCACATGGTAAATACCTTCTTATTCTACCCTCTTGCTCTTACCTTTGCAGTCCTTTTTATTTGAAAGTAGAACAAAACCAGTTTTACAGGAACAGTGGTAACTTCCAGGTGTATTATTACAAATCTGACTACAACCTCCATTTGTATTCAAGAGATTTCTGCATTCATTTATATCTGAAAAGGGGAAAATAAATTACTTTTAAAGTGATAAAGCCTTCAGAAAAGTTTTCAGGAGGTCAGCCCAGATAAGCCGGAGGGGTTTATTATTACACATACCAAATTCACACCTCTGTCCTTGCCAACCCGATTTACAAATGCAAGTGAATGCAGCTCTGCCATCTTTGCAGCTCACATATCCATCTTCATTGCATGGCAGAGGCTCACACTGGTCTGGAATGGCTAAAGGAAATAGACATCTATTTAGTCTTTACCATATGCCACGGTGAGATCAAATTATATGCTCTTTAATAAAAATCTTGTATATAAAATCTATAATAAACCCCCCACATTGTAAGTCCTTCCTTCAGATAATACTTCTTCATAGAGCAGTGAATCCAAGAGACAAATCTTTATTATTTTCAAAGGGAAAATACCTTTATATTTGTAAATATGTACCATATTTTATAACTGAAATTTGATTTTTTTCATATATATATATTACCTTATTTGACTCTCAAACCAATTCTATGAGATATGCAGAACAAAAGTACTCTCAATATCAGTAAGAAAAGAAATGTGGACTTCCAATGTAGGCTAAAATGGAGTAACAGGAGCCAGATTTATCTCCCTGCCTTAACTACATAGAACTCTGGTCAAAATACATGAAACAGTGGTGTTCGGACATTAAACAACAGGTAGCGGAGCATAATCATCATAAAATGTTAGAGCACTTTATGCCTATCTTAAATGATATGCCCATTTGTTTCTTTACTCATTTGTGGCCCCCTCTGCTTAAGTTAGCTAAAAAAAAATTTGTTACTTGCAAAGAAAAAAATTTTCTTAACCTAGCTAAAACTTAATTACTGAATTTTTCAAAAAATATTCTTATAAATTCACAGATTTTGAAAAGTAGTAATAAATTAGGTATTAGTTAAAATGATAGAAAAGCTAATCAGGGAATTGTTATCAAATTATTTCCCTGTCTTTTGCTAAATTGAAAAAAGGTTAAGTGTGAATTAAATATATGTGTGCAGTTTTACTTATGTAAGTAAAACTAACTTTCAATTAGAGAAAACACAGACAAATACCTAGATATTGCCAATACTGCACATAAAACATTCACAGTGAACAACCCAATTTATATCTTGCAATTTCACCTTTTTCTGTCTGGCTCTCAGGAAATTGGTGGATCAGAGACAGATAAAGTACTATACCGTATGTGAACTTCAGGGGAGAAGACTAAGTTGGTACCATAACACTTTCTACATTTATCTTCTTGATACCAAAAGTCAGAAGAATAAACTTGGCTCTACTTTGATCTGTTATTCAACTACAACATTTGGTCATACTACATGATTATTTAACAACAGCCAAAATACCACTGTTGGGAATAAAATTCTGATGTCAGTGGTCTAAAGCTCAGTAAACAAGGCACACTGTTCAATTTAAACATCAGGTGGAAATTCATTTTGCCTAAAACAGCAGCATTTCTATACAAAAAACATTTTTAAATACATTTTGAGAATAACTCCTTTTAGGGCATAATCTTCAAGGGTTCATTTGTTAATTTTTAAACATTGTATTTTCATGGGTGTGCTTTACAGGCAGGTTTTTGTTAGGTTTCGTTTTTAAATTGATTGCAGTGATGGTTACCATTGACACAGCTCCTTAGGTCAGTGTAAGCATTACTTGACTGACGTGCAGCAGTGAATAATCCAGCTCGGAAAGAGCCAAGACAATCTGTAAATACAAACAAATGTAATTTTGTTAGAGTAGCCATGCCTACTTGATCTGAAATCATGGCAGCAATTATGATCCTCTGGATTTACAGGATTCAGCATTCAAAAACAAGATTGCAAAAATAAGAAATGTTGAAAAACAGGTTTATGGAAGCTTCTCTTTGGAGAAGAATCTTAAAGCCAGAAGTGAAAAAGATCTTGAATTGGAAAAGAAATTTATTGTCACAAATCTATGTTCTTAATTCTGTAGCAGAGACATACATTTATCCTCAAATCTGTAGACCAGAGACTGACTTTTAAAATGCCTGTAATTAAATCAATAGAAGTAGTGTTTCTGGTTGCTGTAGACAACTTCCAATTCTCCCAATGTTGCATAGAGACTAACATAATATTTGCATAATGCCTCTATATTACAAAGCAAAGCAGGTTTACTGTCTTCAGTTTATTCCTCACTCCAACCCTATGAAATTAGATATGGCAATCTGGCAGAAATAACAATTGAAATAATAGAGAAAAATACTTACAGTCTTTAAAGTAATTAAGAAAAAAACAAAAAACCCAATTAAACAATGGGCAAAGGACCTGAATAGACACTTCTCCAAAAAGGACATACAGATGGCCAATGGATATATAAAAAGATGCCTAGTGTCACTAATTATCAGAGAAACTCAAGTTAAAACCACAAAAAGATATCATCTCACACCTGTCAGGATGGCTATCATCAATAAATCAACAAACAACAGTGCTGGCAAGGATGTGGAGTAAGGGGAACCCTTCTGCACTGTTGGTGGGAATGCAGACTGGTGCAGCCACTATGGAAAGCAGTGTGGAGATACCTCAAAAAATTAAAAATGGATCTGCCTTTTGACCTAGCAATCCCGCTTTTGGGAATAAATCCAAAGAAACCCAGAACACTAATTCAAAGAACATAAGCATCCCTATGTTCACTGCAGCATTATTTACAATCACCAAGATATGGAAACAGCCCAAGTAGTCATCAATACATGAGGGAATAAAACAACTATGGGACATTTACGCAGTGGAATGCTCTTTGGCTATAATAAAGGAGAAAATTTTACTCTTTGCAATAGTATGTATGGTTGGACTTGGAGAACATTATGCTAAGTGAAATATGCATCAACCCCAAACTATTGTTTATGTCCCTGAGTCACGCAGGCAAGCTCTTTGGTTACTCACTTCCTACACCGTACTTCACATCCTCAGGGCTATTCTGTAGCTACCTATTTGTACTTCTGAATCCTCTCACCTCTTCACCCATTCCCCCATACCCCTCTCCCATCTGGCAACCATCAATATGCTCTTTATATCCATGATTCTGTCTCTGCTGTTCTTGTTTGATTACTTTGTTTTTTAGATTCGATTGTTGATAGATATGTATTTATTGCCATTTTTTGTGCATAGTCTTGATCTTCTCTTCAGTAAGTCCTTTAAACATTTCATATAATAATGGTTTGGTGATGAACTTTGTTTTTTTTATCTGGGAAGCTCTTTATCTGCCCTTCAATTCTAAATGATAGTTAGCTGGGTAGAGCAATCTTGGCCGTAGGTCCGGTTTCATCACTTTGAATATTTCTTGCTAATCCCTTCTAGCCTGCAAAGTTTCTTTTGAGAAATCAGCTGACAGTCTTATGGGAACTCCCCTGTAAGTAACTAACTGCTTTTCTCTTGCTGCCTTTAATATTCTCCCATTATCTTAAACTTTGGCATTTTAATTATGATGTGTCTTAAAGTGGGCCTCCTTGCATCCATATTGTGTGGGACTCTCTGTGCTTCCTGGACTTATGTGTCTATTTCCTTCACCAAATTGGGGAAGTTTTCTTTCATTACTTTTTAAAATAAAGTTCGAATTTCTTGCTCTCTCTTCTCCTTCTAGAACACCTATGATGCAAATGCAGGAATTCTTGAAGTTTTCCCACACACTGCTCACATTACTCCCACTTTTTTGGATTTTTTTTCTTGTGGTTCTGATTGGTTTTTTTCTTCCTTATGTTCCAAATCATTGATTTGATTCTTGGCTTCATCTATTCTACTGTTGTTTCCCTGGACATCATTTTTTATTCCAATTAGTATGTCCTTGGCTTATGCCTGGATCTTTTTTATGCTGTTAAGATCCTAACTAAGTTCCTTGAACATCCTTATAACTAGTGTTTTGAACTCTACATCTGGTAGATTGCTTATCTCCATTTTGTTTAGTGCTTTTTTTCTGGAGTTTTGACATTTTCTCTCATTTGGGCCATGTTTCTTTGTCTCTTCATTGTGACAGCCTCCTTAGGTTTGTTTCTATATAACAGGTAGAGCTGTTATGACCACCCTCCTTGGTAGCATGGCCTAATGTACCAGGTGTCCTGCAGGGTCCAGTGGCACAACCTCCCCTATCACTCAAGCTGGTTCCTCAGGGTACATCCTTCATGTGGGCTGAGTACACCCTCCTCTTGTAATTGAGGCTTGATTGCTGTTGGCAGGTAAATGGAGGGATTTACCCAGGCCAGTCAGCTACAGGCTGTGACCACTGACCACAAAACTCTACCTTCCATGGAGGATCAGCTGTGCAAAGGCAGGGTGCTCCCACGTGGTCTGTAGCTGTCCAGTGGGTGAGCAGGCTCTAGGGTTTCCTGGGTGGGGCAGGCCAAGGTCATCCCCCACCTGCGTTCTGTCTGTGGCCAACCTGCATGGGCTACAAAGCAATCTGAGATGGCTGCTACTTGTGATGGGCTTGGAGATTGACAGCAGAAGCCAAGCTGTGAATCTAAGCTGGCTGCTGTTAGTACTTGGCCTGGGGCCACTTAGTTGTTGCCAGTTTGATATTATTTAGGAAGTTCTGAAACATGAGCCAACTATTAACTGTGACTTTTCCAGCCACTCATATGGAAAAGTCACAGTTAACAGTTTGGATGGCCCTGTACATTGGGTGGGAGAGAGTCTCAAGGGATCTCTAGGGTCAGGCAGACAGTATTAGCCAGGTTGATGGAGTCTCAGATATGGTACCCATCTGCAGGCTCTGTGGCTCCATGGGGGGAGGGCTCAGAAAACGGACAATGGCCTCTGTCTGCCTTTCTGTCCAGGAGAAAGCTTTCCCCATCTCCTGCCTTGATGCCAGACACTTCAGTCCCTGCCTTTGTCACTAGTGCCTTTCAAGCTGCTACCCAGTGGTACTTGAGCTCACAGGCAGTGTGTCTATGTAAGTTCACATGTGGGTTCTTTTAGGGGAACTTTTGGGACTCCAGGAGTTTCTTCCACTGACTCAATCCCCATGGATTTTAGCAGCCAGAAGTTATGGAGACTTATCTTACTTGTACCAGAACCCTGGCCTGGAGGGTCTGGTGAGGGGCTGAGAGTCCTCACTCCCAAATATCCCTCCCGAATTTTTATCCACCACTCATGGATGTGATACTATCCCATTCCATGATCTGCCCCTCCTACCAATCTGGATGGATTTGGTTTCTTAAAATTCCATAGTTGTCATATTTCCATTCAACTCGATTCCTGCCAGTTGTGGGTGATGGTTGTTCTATATTTTAGCTGTAATTTTCGCGTGAGAGGAGGTGAGTCTTGGTAACTTTTGCCACCATCGTGCAGCCCTTTCTTTTTCAATGATAGAAGGTACCATTACACAAAAGTCTAAATGTTTGCTTATTTTAATTTCAGAAGTGGAAGACTGAGTTATTCGTACTCCTCTCTTGATGATACATTACTATTATTTGTTTCTGTAAAGCCTATTGCTTGCTGCTTTTAAAAAAATACGTCTTTTTATCTCCATTTCATTCCCACTTACCTCTTATGCAACCATTCTAATGAATTAATACATATTTTTATTTGTATATGTTCTTATAAAACATGTATTTATAATTTTATGTCCCTGAATTTTCATTTCTGTAAATGGTTGTGTACTATAAATCATGTTCTCTGACATTCCTTATTTAGAATTGTATTTTTATGACCTATTCATGCTGCAACATGTAATTTACTGCTTCTAACTGATAAACATTACTCATAGCATGCAATCACCATTTAAAAAATCCTCTCTACCTGCAATACTAAGATTGCTTTCAATTTCCTACCTCTCTAAAAGTAGCCCTGCAATAGATATTTTCATGCATGTCTCATTATTACACTCATAAACAATTTCTTTGGAATAGGTTCCGATGAGTTTTTGGAATTGTAGCATTTTTCAATAGGCATAAACTTAGTGGCTAAGTGCATTCTCTCAAGCAGTGCATATGAATTTCTATATCCTGCCCTAGCCAGTGTGGCTCAGTTGGCTGAAGCATTGTCTCATTAGCCAAAAGGTCATGGGTTCACAGTCAGAGCACATACTTAGGTTCAGGGTTCAGTCCCCAGTTGGATTGAGTACAAGAGGCAATTAATCAATGTTTCTCACTTGCCTGTGAGAGGCAACCAGCCAGTGTTTCTCTCTTGCACTGATGTCTCTCCCTCTCTCTAAGATAAGTCAGCATGTCCTCAGGAAAAGATAAAATAAAAAGAATTTCCATATCCTGGCTTTCTAATTGTTGCAGAATAGGCAGTAAAGTGACAGCCCTTTGTTTTTCTGATTTCCAGTGAGATGGAGCATAACTTCATGTCATTTAAAAATATTTTGAGTTTCCTCCTTTGACTATTTTATTACTTTGTAACCACTTTTCTTTTGGCACTTATTTATTCTTGTGAGTTTGCAGAAATTTAAAAATATTTATAAATATCGACTCATCCTCTCATCTGTCTCCTTCTTAAATTTTACTGTTTTTTGAGAGAGAAGAAGGGAGGACAGAGAAAAACATCCATGTAAGATAGAAACATCAATTGGTTGCCTCACATATGTGCCCCTTAAAGAACTGAACCCACATCCTAGGAATGTGCTCTAACTGGAATTGAACCCCCAACCTTCTGATGTAGGGGACAATGCTCCATCCGAGCTCAGCTGGTGTAGGGTACAACTCAGCCACACCAGCCAGGGCCACTTATCTGTCTCTTAACTTTATTTTTATGCCTGTCTTTTAAGAGAAGTTCTTAATTTTGTTGTAATCAAATCTATCAATTATTTGGCATTATGGTTTTTGCATTTGAAGTTTTTTGTTCTGTGCCATTGATAGTGAAAATATTCTCACACAGTTTTGTTTAATTTCATAGTTTTAACATTTGTGTCTTTATTTCATCTACCACCCATCTTTATATTTGGTGGTAGGAACACAGATTTATTTTTCTGATTATAGTTAGCCTGTCTTCCCCACATGATCTTCTACACAATTCGAAGTGATATGTGATATGATCTTTATGAAATATTAGGTTGGCAAATAGAGAGGGGTCTGTCTCTGCACTGTTACATTCATTAATGTACATGTTCCTCTGACAAAAGCAAGTTGTTTTCTCTCTACAGCTTTGTATTATTTATATTTGATGAGGTGTCTCCTCCTTGCCAATTTTAAGATTAATTTAGGCATGTGTAGGCTTTTATTCCCTGATTTACATACAGAATTATTTTTAAAAATCCAGCTGGAATTTTAAAAACGATTGCTCCCAAATATATAGGTTACTTGATCTCTTTATAGCATCACTCAGTTCAGAAGCATGAAATATCTTTCTATAATTTCAGTTCATCTTCTATACCCTTAGTTTGACTTTTAAAGTTTACCCTACAGAGGTCTTACATATACTTAAGATATTTCTAGATATTCTATGAGATTTGCTGCTGTCGTGAATGGTGTCAACTTTTTATTTTCTAGGGGACTACTATGTAAAGAACTACTGCTGAATTTTTATGGGGTAGACTTACAACTATCTAACATCTTTTATGTGCTCTAATACTCTGTCTATGGATACTTTTTCTGGTATATCATCATATTGATTACAAATATATAATGATAGACATATAGTTTGCCTCATGATCTATACAATTCTTATTTTTCTCTCCTTACTGAATTATCTGTAAACCTAAAGTGCTTCTATTCTTGTTCTCAATTAAAAAGAGATTGTATGTAAAGTTTATCCATTAAGTATAATGCTTACTACAGGTTTTGTTCTTTTTACTTCCTTCCTTCTCTTCCTTTCTCTTTTCCTTCCATTCTTCCTCCTTCTCTCTCCTTCTTATCCTTCCTTCCTCCCTCCCTCCCTCCCTCCCTCCCTCCCTCCTTCCTTCCTGGTTGTATCATTAGCATGACCATCCATATCAATTTACCCAGGGGAGTCCTATTTATTTTTTACTTGACATTTATCTGGAAAAGAATTAGTCCTGGACAAAATAGAAAAATCTGGAAGATAAATTATATGGTTACTCTATATAACCTTTAGTTTAAAAAAGTTTTTCTATAATCATAGTTTGCTGAAAGTTTTTATCATAATTAAGTGTTGAATTTTATCAATTGCTTTTTCTGTGTGAACTGAGGTAGTAATAAACTATTTATGTGGAGAATTATATTAATGGATTTTCTGATGTTAAACCATCCTTGAATTTCTGGAATAAAACCTACTTTACCATGAGGTATTATTTTAATATACTTTACATAAGATTTGACATCATTTTATTTAGAATTAAATTATAAGTGGAAAGAAATTGTATTTGTATTTTTTGTGTTATCCTTATCTGGTTAGAGAATCAAAATTACACTAGTCTTTTCAAATAAGCCCAGAGCATAGCCGTTTTTCCTATTTTCCAGGACAATTTTATAAGAGAAACTTTAATAATTTCTTTACATGTGGAAGAACTCCCCTAAATAATATCTGGGTCTGTATTTGGGTGCTTACAGAGGAGAGGACTTTGGGGTTTTAGCTTATTTAGTACTCATCTGTATAACCAAGTTCTCCATTTCTTCCTGTAAAATTAAAGATGTTTTATATTTTCTAGAAATGTACCCATTTTATCCAGTTTCTAAATATAGTTTTATAGCTATTTATAATATTGTATATTTTATTTTATCAATATGATGATCTCTATTTTAGAATCACAAATCTCATCTATACTGGGGGTTTACAGTATTTCCCATTTTTATCCTATCCTCTGTTCTGGCATTCCTTCTTTCCTTTTCTTCTTTTTCCTTGATTATTCTTACAAGAGATCAGTCTAACTTACATTTTTCAAAGAATGAGATTTTGCTTTTGTTAATTTCTCTTTTGATTTCCATTTAAATTATCTCTATCCCTATTTTTGTTATTTCCTTATTTCTTGTTACTCGGGGTTTACTTTTAAATGTTTTTTCACTTGGTTGGAATGTTTAGATCATTATTTAAAATTCCTACCTATCCTCTGAATGGTGCCCCAGCACTGAGCACCCAATTCCCACATGCACATACTAGAACAAGCCAGCTTTTACTCTACCCATGGGTTTCTCATATTTCTTGTTGTATTTTTTATTTTATTTTGTTATTATTAGTGCCTAGAACGTTACTGTTTCTCTTAGATGATTTTAAGAGAAGTCAGCACTCTGGTCTAATTCACCAACTTGGCAAGAACAAGAAATTGAAAATTATTTCTCCTGTTTATATTTAGGCTTCTAATTTAGCATTCTTCCCAAGAAGTTCCTCTCCCACTAATAGAATCCTCCACTCTATCAGGTGATATTTTAAAGGTCAATATAGATGGTAGAGTTATCTATTTTATTTTCTAAGGAAAAGAACATGACTTTAAAAACACAGAGCTGCCTGGCTGGTGTAGCTCAGTAGATTGAGCACAGGCCTGCAAACCAAAGGATCTCAGTTCGATTCCTGGCCAGGATACATGCCTGGGTTGCAGACCAGGTCCCCAGTGGGGGACACATGAGAGGCAACCACACATTGATGTTTCTCTCCCTCTCTATCTCCTTCCCGTCCCCTCTATCTAAAAATAAAAATAAAAATAAATTTAAAAAAAGAAAGAAAACCAGAGCCTTAACTCTGTCCAAAATCTGCTTTCAATGCAGTAATGGAAGATGTGGGTAGACTGAAGTCTTTCTGAATCTCTGAAACTCTAAATCTAAGCACTGTCCAAAAAGTATGCGTTATTAGTGGTAAAACTTCTTGGGTGTTCTTATCTCACTGTAAGACACTTCATGCATGGGCTGTGGTAATTAGTAAAATTACTGTTAGGTTTACTAGAAACAGAATTATAAGTATCTATCAAGTAGAAAAATCTGGCCTACAGAATATATATATATCAAATGACAGAAAAGGTAAACTAAGAGCATTTCTTTTCCATTTTCAACAGTGGAAAACGGAACAAGAGAAACTCTTGTTGCATCTTCATATCCAGAGACAAAAATAGTATCACTCCACAATTTTTATAGTGTCTCCTTTCCAAGTTTAAATGAAACTGTTTAAGTCTGTTATTAGTGGCTAGAAAGGGAAAGTGAAGGAAAGAATAAAATGGAAATAAAGAAGTCATAGAAAAATTATAATGTTAAGATCTTGCAGGAGAAATCTCAGACTGGAAATTACAAAAAGAATTATAATAAGTCAACTGGAAATTACCTAGCAGCCCATTGAACAGAAATGAGACATGCCACGGAGTTCTAAAGAGAGACCCCAATGAACTGAGGTCCTACAGTTGAGGAGAGGGTGAAATGAAATGTAGACACTGCTGTTGAGTCTCCTGAGCCCAGAATGTGCCACACAAACAAGATTCAGAGCATCATGGATACTCAAAAATGAAAGGATAACCAATTCAGGGCTAAGAAAAAGAGCACTGGGCTCTAACAGGGTCTTCTACACAGTGGTCTTAGGCTCTTACTTGTTAACTGTTCTGAAAGGTAGATATATCGGTAAGTACATACCATTGTTTCAATGGAAGCTTCCTTAGGAAAGCAAGAAAGGAAGAGATATACCCAATCTAAAGACAGTTTCTGGACTCTTTACATGGGTATTCAGAAACAAAACAAAAGCAAACAAGAAGTAAAACCCTAAACCGTAATTAAACCCTCAGATTTCAAGAAAAATAAGAGTTTAATAGAAAGTTATTTACAAAATTATGTTAACAAATTTTAAGCTGCATAGTAATTAATGTATATCAGAGTACATTTCTACTTTTTTTCCAAGGAGGATTAACTTTTCATTTCTAAAAGGCTTGCAGCTCAAGTTGGCTGGGATGAGAGTGGGGTGGACAGATGCACAGATGGGGAATATCTTGAGCCTAAAGAAGGATGGAGAGCACAACTTTGTGGGCTGGACCTTCAGAGAATCCCATCAGAAAGAGGTGAATAAATCAATCTCCATTATTATGGAGAATGCTTACAGCTATCCTGAGTAATATTAATATAAAATGTTTTTATATTTCCTTAAAGCAAACCCAAATCTTCTTATCTTTAATTGATATTGAGTTGAAATCATCTCATCTATTTGAGTATGGAAAGCACACCTCACTCCTTGGGAGTCCAGTATTGTGTGCAAAAGGGATACTGCAAGAAATGATGAAATGATGTTGCCAAGGGAGAAGCTGTTAATAATTTCAATAAGTGTGTGTGCCACAAGCTCCAGAGAGTACAGAGATCTTTCCTTTCATTAAAAGATAACCCATGACCTAAATATAACTTAACATTAGCCCAGTGAGGCTGTAAGACAGGAAATTGAAGACTTAAAAAGTCAAAAATGCCACATGTTAATTAAAGAACCATTAAAATTTTTCTGCATAACTTTAATAAAAGGACAGCAATATTGCATAGAGAATGGTATCTTACTCCCAGGGCTAATTAAACTGTATTGCATGAAATATACAACTTAAGGATTGGGCTTGATTGTATCTAAGTTCCTTCCCACACCTAGAATTATATGAATGAAATCCTTCTGAACTTACCTAAATATCTTGGATAAAAATACTCCTAGAAGGAAAGAAAAATGAATAAATTATCTTAGCAAACCTAAATTTCACTATAAAGTTAAAGCAATTTTAAAACATGTTTTTATTTTAAAGATGCAATTTTTTCCTCTTTATTGAATTTATTGGGGTAACACTAGTTAACAAAATGATACAGTTTTCACATGCACAATTCCACAACACATTATCTATATACAGTATTGTGTGTTCACCAGCCGAAGTCTAAAAATTCAAATAAATTACAAATAAATGTCATTTCCACATTATAAGATTTTTTCTGTAGTAAAATATACCCGGAGTAGATAACTAATAACTTTAAGCACATAGATTCTTAGGCTTAAGGCAATATCAATCAATTAAATCATGTTTCAAAAACTTCTAATCTGAACACAGGTTCTATTGGAGCTATTAAACGTAATCATATACATCCCCTTTTGTAAATTCTGTATTTTTTCCATAATGATTAGATACCCATTTGGCACATTTCATGCCATGCTGATTACACACAGCAGATTAAATATTGAATAACACTAGGCATTTATCTTTTAGCACCATAAGTACAAGTAACACCTTTTGTATTAATTGGTTATGTATGCAAAGCTTGTCTGTAAATCAATACTTTGGAATAAGAATGCACTTTACCAGAGAGAGAAAAATGTTAAAAATGATTACTAATGGTAAAATTCTCAGGATGGTTCACGAACGCCTTCTTAAGCCATAATGTATCTAATGTGTAACATTACTAGCACAAGAACTCCTCATGAGAAACCAGTGTTTCTGCACAAAACGTAAGTCCAAAACATAACTTCACCCAGTATACAGTCAAAGTCCTCACTGTTTCCTCCTCTCACATATACACCTACACAACACTTACCTACTAATTTATAAGCATGGACTTTCTCACCAAGTATTGCAGACAGTGGTGTTACCTTCTACAGAACAAAGGTCAGGAGGATAAGCAGCAATGAATGGACTCAAAAGATTATGTGATGGGTGAAAGGAATAGTTTAGGGATAATGAGGTAAACAGCAGGGGAAAGATTGGGAATGTGGGCTAGAGTATTAGGGATGTGGGAAGCAACAGTGAATGTTTTTTTCTTTTATTTCTCCTATTTCTTCCTTTCTCTGTCATAGCTTTTTCTTCCGTCAATAAGACTGATGTCAGAATGAGTGGAGAGGAAGCACATTCCTGAGTTTCCCTTCTACACTATCTTCCCCTCTCTCCATTGTCATCTTCATCCTCACTCCACATTTGCTATTCATATGCTACAGTATAAGAACATATCTACAGTGCTAGAAATGCAGACTCAAGTATTTCTAGTGATATAATATATCTCAAGCATGCGTACTTGCTTTAAAATGTTCAAGCAAAACAAAACAAAATTAGAGTGAGTGAAGAAGAAAACAGACAAAACAATCATGGCGGATTGCTGAACATTGTTGAAGTGAGAGAAACATATGCTGAGGTTTGTTACACTGTACTTTCCACTTTGGTATATTTAAATTTCTATAATAAAAATAAATGTGTGTGCACACATGTGTGTACATGTACCTGTTCTCTACAAAATAAAAATACTCTGTATATTGTGTAGAATAAAATATTTTTGTCTTGCTGATTGTTTATCCAAAAAAGCAACAAAACTGAGAGGAAAAAAACGGAATCTTTGGGTATCTATTAGAATAGGTGGAGGTAAAAGAACTGAAGAGAACACAGGTTAGTACTGTCTCGGACAAGTTCTCCAACTACAGAGATGATTTTTGGTCATTATCTCTCAACTCATGGTCCCAAAAGCCATGGCAGAGATAAAGGAGATACTCTGTACATATTTGCACCCTCACTTCCCTTTGGTTATATAGTTCACCTCAGAAAAAAATGCATGAGGTAACTGCAAAGGTTAACAAACTTGAATACTTAGAGGCACTATTTATACTCCTGTCACCCACAGGATAGGTCAGAGAATATCCTCCCCTACGAAATAAAAGGACTAAAGATAAGGTCATATTTCTGTATAATATTTAGGGACACTTATGACTAGATTTTTCTAAATTAACTTGGAAACTTTTACACACTAAGATGTAAATTCTAACCCCAGCAATGACTGAAGACATAAAATGACTCGGGAAATTTCCCAAGGGCTTATGGAATGAATTAAAATATACTCAAGGAACACAGTGCTGAATGAATTCTTTAGTAAGCATTCACTGAGTACCAATTATGTACCAAGCTTTATGTTAAAGGCTGGTTAAAAAGGCAATGAAGACATTTAATGAAGTATAATGATAATGATGCAATCACATGCTTGTGCCTGCTCACACACACACACACACACACATACTTGAGGTGTCTTCCCCCTCACCCAATACTCTCAAATTCTGGTTGGATAAAAGTATTTACAAACTAGGAGTTTGATATTGTTTGCTGATAACGAGATATAACTGAATTATACTTTGGTTAAAGCACATGGCTTTTAGCAATGTGTCTTCCTAACTAGTCCACTTTCATTGGAAGGTACTTCTTTATAAAATGCTTAAGTGGTTACATGAGAAACATGACATGTACCAACAATTAACTTTACAAAGGAAAACAATGGAACATGGACTCAAGCAGGAAATGTTCTGCTGTTTCTATGCCTGGGTAAGCTAACATTAATTTTCACAGGTTCTTACCGTTTCAGGGTTATTTTCAAAGACCTCCCTGGCTTCTTCTTTATTGCACAGTTCTTCGATGCACTCTCTTTCAAGATTACCCTGCTGGGTTTCTTCAGCAGAGTACCAAGAGTTTGCACGACGTTTCCTAACCAGAACTTGTGAAGCATGTTGCTTTGACAAGACTGAAGAAAAACAATAAGTTCATATAAATAAATCTTTCATTTCTCCAGCTAAAACATATTATTGTGTTAAACAATAAGAATTAAAATCATTTTATTCCTTTAAATTGTATGATATTTAAAATCAGTATGCTTAAACTGAGGAAAAATGAAGATATGTAACACTTTCATTAACAACTCAACGAACAAGTTTGGTATACAGCTACATGCTTTTAATAATCTACACAAACTATTCAAGTTCCTGCTAGAGGTCATACATAACAGACAATACTTACTATTTACCTTATGAACTACACAGGAAATAGCACCATGCTGAAAGGACTATGTGAAAAACCATAGCCATCCCATCTGTGATGCTACTTTCTTAATTTTAATGGAGAACTTACATGATCACTGAAGCAGGAGTATAATTCAATGAGCTATTTAAAATACACTTGATAGGCTAACACACAATTATTCATACCAACAGGAAAATAAAAATTCATGATAAAAGTAAGTCCAAAGAAAAGGCTCTTGAATCCACGTGGACTGATCCTATCGTGCCCTTCACAACCTTCTTTATCCTCTAATGAAGGGCATCTCAATCCCATCAGAAATGTTCCCCATTTCTTTGCTCTCCTTGACACAGTTGTCTATATTCCTATTCCCCATATCCTCTCCTCCCACCCTTTCATACACACATACACACTCACACTCACACACACACTAATCAGGCTTTTGTCTGTGACTTCCCCAGGCTGCTTTAATTGTAATGGTTAACCATCAGTCATCATCTTACCTGACCTACAAGCAATATTTGACAGCAGTGATTATCGCTTCCTAAGTACAATAGTTTAGCCAGACTTACAGGTCATCAGGCATTCTTCATTATTCTTATATCCCATTGCCTACGCCTTAGTCATCTCTTCCTTCTAGTGACCTCTAAATATTGGTTACTTGTGGTTTCATGGCTATATCCTAATATACTGTATCTGCAGCTCAAGCCTCCCTCCTCACTTCAGATCATATGTCCAGTTGGCTATCAGACCTCCCCACCTGGGTGACCAACAAAAATCTCAAATATGGCATCATAAGAATGAAATTCTAATTTCCACACTCTCTCTGACGGGCTCCACTTGAAACCTCTCAGTTAATAGTAACTTCTGGGAGCTCAGGGCAAAAAACTTGGAGTAATCTTTCATTCCTTCTCCCCCAACACCATCGACATCCCAATTCTGTAACATCACAAAATCCTCTCTGGTTTCTCTTCCAGATTTATAAAAAATATGACCACTTCTCACCATCTCAACTGTTTTTATTGATATAACTATTTTCATTTTTAAAACTTCCACAATTAAAATTAGTAAAACGTTTCCTTTAACCAACTATGAGTCAAACTTTAAAAATCAGGCAATACTATATGGCACATGAGTATGTGAAGAACATAAGTTTTTACAAAGTTGTTGATCATTAGGAGATTTAACTAATTAACAAATATTATTCATTATTGTGACAAACCAATACGTATGTATGAGTTTGTCCACCTTTTTAAAAAAGATAATTCATGGGGTGGGAGGAGCGGGGGGGGGGAATTCAGACAACTCTAATTGAACAACAATAAAGTAATTTAAAGATAAATAAATAAATAAATAGATAATATAATTAAAATGGTTAATGTATTGCTTTTTTAATTTGGTACTATAATACTTATATTATTATTTTACTTTAAAATATATTTAATGGGATATCTAGGACTCCTGGCCAAGATGGAGGCATAGGTAGATATGCTTCACTTCTTCACACAACCAAAAGAGGAATAACAACCAATTTATGAATAAAACAACCAAAACTGCCAGAAAATCTAACTGTCTGGAAGTCTGACAATCAAGGACTTAAAGAAGGAAGATTAATCCAAACCGGTAGGAAGGTAGATATGGGCAGCTGGGGTGGAGAGGGCACAATGTCAAGGTGGTGGCCGAAGAATGGGCAGTCCCACATTCATGTGCGGATAAACCGGGAGGAACAACTGGGAAGTGAGAGAGATCGCGCAATCCTGGGTTCCAGTGTGGGGAAATAAAGCCTCAAAACTTCTCGCTGTAAAAAACTGTACGAGTTGCAGCAACAAGAAAAACTCCCAGTCTCACAGGAGAGTCTGTTTGAGGGGCCCACAGGGTTCATACCCTGTGGACATACACAAGCCCACCCAACCGAGTATCATCAGCACTAGATGGGCCCAATTCACTTGTGGATAGTGGGGGAAGTGACTGAAAGCCAGGCAAAAGCCATGCAAGTGACATTGTTCTGCTCTCTTTCGGATTTTGGTCCCCTTTGCTGCTTCACGCAAGCAAATTGGGCCCTTCCGGTGCTGGTTCCGGGTGCGTGGGCCTGTGCACCCTCCAGGACCCTGTGGGTCTCTCTAACAAACTCTCTGTGAGCCTGGGAGCTTCTCCTGGAACCTCAAGCCCAAAAGTTTTTTCAATCAGTGCTTTTAGGCTTTATTTCCCAGTGCTGGAGCCCTGGTTTGTGAGGTCTATCTCACTGCTCACTCCTTTGCCTGGTTTATCTGCGCACAAATGTGTGACCATGGTCAGCCAGCCACCTTGCTCCCTCACTGGGTCTGCCCATTGCCATCCCACGTCTGGGATCTGCCAACTGTTGCCTGCGGGTCTGGGTCGGCTGGCCACCTTTTCCTGGGCAACCCCGCTGCGTCAGCCACTGACTCCACCCCTACTACCAGTCTGGCTGAATGATTCATTGTTGTCAGACTTCTGTATAGTTCAATTTTCTGTGTTTTGGTTGCTTTTTTATTACTAAAACTTTATGGTCTTTAAACTTGGTTGTGCAAGAAGGCACAGTGTTACCACCTACACCTCCATCTTGGCCAGAAGTCACAACAAAGTTTTTAACAAAAATTTTCACAGCACAAATATAACCTACACCTAAATCTTTAAATCCTGATTTTAACCATAAATGGTTCTTTCACTAGGAAAATCACAAAGTAATATAAATAACTCAGTTTATTTTTCTCTTATTTCTCTTGTTATCTGACAATTAATAAGCAACAAATACCCAAAGTTGACAATAAAAGAAAGAAGGAAAGCTAAAGGGCTAATTAACCAACAATCACCATGAGTATTGGTTAAATAATTAAACATCTTTCAAAGACTGTTTAATTGTTCTTAAACAATCTTTGAAAAGACAGGGTTCTCAAATCTCAACCCTATCTTTGAAAGGTTAACTAAGTACTTCTACTTTTTTTCTCTTACTTGCCAAAATAGAAATCTAAATGTTATAAGTAACTAAATAAGTAAGGTGTCTGGATTATATTTTTAAATCTATCCCTTACCATCTTTACTACTACACATTGATAAAGATTAAATCAAGCCTGTGAGTCTAAAAGTGCTACTCTGTGAGTATGCTACCTGCTAAGTGTGTTACTGACTGACAAACAGCAGCCCTAAGAACAATGAAAAAGTCTGACATGGACAGTTATGTCATTTATTTAAAGTAGGCTAAAGTATGCTATTTTATAATACATATAGCAAAAACTTGTCCCTTCTGAACTTTGAAGCAAATACATGAGTGTCTTTCAAAATGAATACACTGATTCAGTAACAACAAAAAAGTCAAGGTCAAATACACTTAAGAAAAAAACCAACAAACCATAAACATCCCTGTTTGGCATATCTTCTTTACACAATATTGATATTTAAGAATACCACCTACCCTACAAGAATCTCCACTACAAGACATAGACCAGGTATAACAACTCACTATATTCATGTTTGTGAAAAAAGTTTTCAACTGTCCAGAGAGAACTAAGGTGGTGGTTTATAGGAATGCCCATATAAGTTTAGAAAACTAGAGAAAACCATAATAACCTCCATTATTTCAGAGATGATGCAACTCAGGTAAAGAGCACGCAAGACATTTGACATTTCCCTGTATCATAAAGCTAATAAGTAGCAAACATACAACTCAGATCACAGACATCCCAGGACTCCGAACTGTGACCATCCACTACCATTCGCTGCCTCTCAGACAACAAGCAGAAGTCTCTGTGCCCATTAATGAAAGGAATACTAAAAAAATTATTATACCTTTGACCTAACAATATGTTAATGAAGCTAACAATAAAAAACTAACTTTGTCTAAATAAATTTTGTCTGTTTGAATGCTTGTTTTATTTCATCCAGGTATAACCCAATAATCCTTCAAATTGGCATAATATTTAATAATTTTCAAAGTGTATGTTAATTATTGATCCTTACATAAATAATAAAATACACTATAGGATAGAATTATCATTCCTATTTTTTTATTGAAGAAGTTGAGACAGAAAGAGGTTAGATGATCTGACCAAGGTCATGGAGCTAGGAAGTGGTGCTAGTGGGACAGGAATTTAAATACACCCCTTCTTCCTAGTCCAGTGCTCTTTCTTCCGTGTATGCTGTCACTTGAATGTCCACAGTGTACTTCACTGAAAAAAAAAGAAATTAGGTGGCTGTGAGGTTGACAAGCTTAATAGCTTAAATGAGACAATTATTGTCCTTTGTACTGTAAAACCATCCAACAGCATGTTCTCGAAGGAGTTTTTCAAACATGGCATCATAGATCCAAACTAAGAATTACAGAACTGTAGGATACGACAACTAAGTGATTAGACGTGTTTTTAACAGTTGGCTGAGAGTATGTTCATCCAAAAACATCCAACCTACTAGCCTGCAGAAATGTCTAAAAATTGCATTACATATCACAGTAACAGCTATGTCACAGAAGCAAATAAATGCTGTTTTGCATCATTTCCTTTAATCCTAATCACACCTGCTCTAACTAGATAATTTCCCCATTTTATACATTTACTAAAACTCAGGGAAACTGTTCTTAATTTTACCAGGTTCACAGAGCTGAAAACAAAGCCAAGTCTGCCTCCAAAACCTGTTCTCTTTTAGCTTTACCATGGTCTCTAATCATGTTTCACTTCTTTAAATGAAGACGTTTTCAAGAAAGTCCTTGTTAAAACC